ATGTTCAAAGATCTTCTTGATATTCGTCAGATAATTGATCTACATGCTCTTGAGTAATGTAACCAAGTCTTCGGCAGATATCCAGACCAGTATTTAAGGATGAGAATAAGATGCTGAAAAAAAGAAATAAGGAGAAAGGAGCGATGAGCAGAACAGAAAATGTTCTTGTTTAAAGCTGAGTCATGACTGTGATGCTAATATTTTTGGATACATCAAAGTATGATTGCTAGGACCTTTCTTTTTCTGTGTTAGAAGACTAACTGTATAGTGAAGACAATTCACTAGTAAGATAACGAATGGGCAATTAATCGAATGAATGGAAGAAATTCAGAAGGACCAAATTGTTAGCAGTAATCTTGATGTATAAAATATAATAATGAGGCACAGTGATCTGATGCTTTTATGATATTTTATTTATTCTTTTTCTTTTTAACTCTGTAGCTCAAGAAGTTATGAATGAGCCCTTATCACTGTAACTGTCAAGATCTGCTTTTAATATGATTTCTTGGTAGAAAGTTAGAGCTGCTGCAAGGTTACGAACATGAGTCGTAGACGAGGTTAGCAAGGAAAAGTAACATCAGTAACACTGATTTGTTACATCCTGCTATATCTTAAGCAGCAGTAAGCGAACAGACCTTTCTACCCCACAGATCTGGGTAGGTTGTTTTCGCCCCACAGTCTTGAATGCTGGTCAGATACACCACCCCTCTCCTGTTCCATGGGGTCCATGTCAGTGTGTGTTCCCTCTTGAAGCTACCCTCTTAGTAGGCTGCAGACATTTCGAATGGGAGAGCATTCCATGAAGGTACAACTAATGAGAAACGGTTGAAGTCTACCTAGATGTTTGTTCCTTGATGTGCAATTTTCTGAAGTAGTAATGAACTGGCAGAATGCTCGTATTGAGGGTGGTTTAACATAATTAATATGTTGTATGCCATCATCCGATCACCTCTGATTCTCTCATAATTCAAACGGAATAATCTGAAGCTTTGGAGTCTCTCTTCGTAAGGTTTATTCTTTAACCCTGTCACCCATTTAGTTGCTAGTCTCTGGACTCTCTCCAGGAGATCTTTGTCTCTTTTAGCGAGAGGGGATAGGATGGTTTAGTGGTGACCGAGTGGATATTGACGATTGTCACCACTAAATATTAATTTCTATCCCGTCACAATAAATACAAATAAATTCAGGGTAAAGAATATATTTGAAGGAGAAATCGGGCGACATAGGGAGCAGTAAGTTATGAATGATGACAGCAATGCAAAAGCAGAAAGTTGTGCATCAGTTAGTGTTTGTTAGTACAGTTAAACAAAATGAGTACAACAAAACAATTACTGTAACAATTAGGTAAGATGATAAATGTTTCCATTTCATCAAGTTTTCCACTATATTGGCGTAGTGAACTTTAAACTGTGGCCGTGCGTATGTCTCAAAGACAGTTAAGGACGTTTTTAAGGTGATTGTACCAAGTCGTCTTCTCATAGGCCGAAGGGCTGCGCTAGAGTTGTTTGCATCCCCTGTGTCATTTGAAGTTATATCGACGCCCCCTATGTATATTAAACCAAGATCGCACTCTAAGAAGAGATTTAAGAGCTGAATTATATCAAGGGCGTAAGTTGTTTGTGTCACGTGAAACAGAATTTTCACATCACTTTCTCACAGGTTAAGTTTCAACCCGACTTCCACTTCCCATTCTTCTATTGTTTCAAGGTCCTTTTGAATATCGATTGAAACCTCTTCGTTTCTTATGGATCTCTAGATCTCTGTGTCTTTCGCATGGATCAAAGCCGCTGAGATAATTCTATCTGACAAGTCGTTGATGGATATCAGAAAGAGGAGTAGGCCTAAGATGGCCCCTTGTGAATCTCCTGACGTTGAGACTTTTCAGTTGGCATGCACACTATTTACCTTGGTACGAAGCCTGCTTTCCTCCAAGTAGTTTCTGAGCCGAGATAGAAATTGATCAGTTATGCCTATCTTCTGAAAATTAGTAATTAGAACTGCGTGAGGTACTGTGTCGTAAGCTTTTGCAAGGACCCGTAATGTTACAGGAATGTGTGATTTTTGGTCACAGTAGGCTGTCCAACCGTCCCGCTCTATGGGATGATTGAATGCACGGGACCTAACTTTACTAAATCGGTGTCAGGCTCCGTGGAGAATGTTGTTTTTATCTATGTACTCTCAAATTTGTTTATTCACTAGTCTTTCCATTGGTAGTAATGCTGGTGATCTGTGGCGGGTAAGATCTTTCCTATCTTGTCTTTTGAAGATTGGAGGGAGAAATGCTTGCTTCTATTATATCGAGAGTTAGTGTGTCTCTGGTGAATGCCAGGACAGGTCATATGATGGTGAAGTGAGTGATTCCTCACAGTTGTAAGATTCTAGGGCATGTATAGCCGCATCCTAACTTACCTACCGTTTTTTGTACTAAACCAGGAGTAAGCCAGAAACTCTTTAGTCAATCAGCTAGCTGTAGACTGAATATTAGTCTGCTCTTGTAGGTGCCTAGCTTAACCGCTGGACGAACTTACTGCTCAAGATATCTGCAACTATTCTGGCTTATTCTTTCGTGGTTTTGATTGTGGGCTTCTATGAAACACAGTTACTGCTGTTATATCGTTTGCTGTTCATAAATTAAAATAAACTAACCGAGAAAAATCTTCACCTATAACAATTCACGGGTTACTGCCAGTGCCGAGTCCACATAAGGAATGGGGGCTAGGCATCTAGTTGGCAACATCATCTAATAACATCATCCACTGATAAACACTAACCAGAAAAAATAGCTCGAACCATTTAAAATCTGCTTCGACATTTAGAAGGACTTCATTTGGAAGAGCTACGACACCGCATTATGAAAGCTGAGTTTCACCTCAAGTTGCGAGGCCAATGTCTCTTCTCACAACCAGAGTAAGTATTTTATATATATACATGGAGAGCATTTTCTCAGCATAATGGTTCACAGATGCTTTTGATAGGACTTCTCGGTGGGAAGTGAATCCAGTTCAAGTTTACAAACAAGATTTGTAGACGTAGTTGACTTGGAAAAGTAACTTCAATATCACTGACTAATCACATCTTGTTATATCGTCAGGAGCCATAAGCGAAAACAATGTTCTGCCCCATAGACATGGGTAGATTGAGGTTATCGCTCCACAGTTATGAATGCTGGTCACATACACCCCTCGTCTTTATGTGCATAGGTGGCACCATACTTTTATACAAGTGCATGAACAAAGCTACAGCATGTCGTTAAAGCGAAAAAAAGTTTCAATAATCTCAAAACTTCGAGATCAGTAGGCTGGATGCCGTAAAGACCCACCAGGTACTGACCAATTAGCGAAACTCTGGATCATTGTGCAATAATCGATTGAATGCAACTCATCGCTCGATATCAGTTTCATTGAATACGAAAAAGAATTCGATAACACAGACAGGATGATACCATGGAGGCTTCTTGGAGAGCACAGTGCGTCTGGGAAGATATTCAGCATCATCGGTGTCAGGTAAGGCTGTTTACCCTCACCCTTTCTCTCCTAGTGAGTGAATGGATTATGAGGATGTGAAGATCTCACAGCAAGCACAGAGTACAACGGGCAGTTCAGATGCAGCTGGATGATCCGCAGTTCGCAGACTATCTAACCCTTCTAACCCGCGCACTAGAACGGTCAAGAGAAGACGATCAGTGAAGCGGCAGGTCTCAACATAAACATAGGAAAAGCGAGATTCTCTGACACAACACAGCATGAACCAAACAAACCATGTTAGATGTAGAAGCTGTGAAAGTTGTTGAACCTTTTCCATATCTGGGCAGCATCATTAGTGATCAAGGTGGATCTGATGCAAATGTGAATCTGCTGACTGACATAGGAAGGGCAGCATTTCAGCAACTTGCAGATATCTAGAACTCAGAACAATTATCAACCAACATCGAAGTCACAATTTTCAATACAACAATAACACACATTTTTTCAGTGCTGTATTCGATATAAACTCTATTTGCTGGGAAGCTTAATCGCCATATTACGTGTCTCTACCCTAGTTTCGTAACACGGCCTGCACAGCGCTCATCTGATAATCGCCAACATCGTCTGCCAATGTGTATCAAGATAAACCTATATTCCCATGGATATTCGAGCTCCAGAATTATGAGCTGTCTATACACAGAGTGAATCCTCGTCTCGCACGTTATCTTTTATCATTTATAGGAATAAAGAATATGGTATAGACGGTATGAAACCGGCGTTTGGAAAACCATATTTTCATAGATCGCTGTCTTAAACATAAAGTTCTCATCGACCCATATTTTAACACAGCTATCCAGTTCGTAAATACACCAAGAAACTATAGAAAACGTGCATTAGTGACCATCAGTTTCACTGTAACATTTAGCCTATTTCAAAATATTTTTGATTACGCATTTTGAAGTATGATTGCTGGGTTAATGTACTCTGGGACATGAGCATTCCTGGAGAAATTGATCTCTGCTTCCTAACGATGAAAAGTAAAGTGAAACAGCGGGAATGAAGATTTAAAGCAAGCATAAGTACAATTAAAAAAACACAGTTGTTTCAGAATGGATATTTGATAGCTTCAACTCTGAACTGACGCTAAATTAGTTTTCAATTGTTTAACTGCATAATGTACGAAAAATCACTCTGAAATTGGGTTTGTCAAATATTCTGTAGACTTCTGAAACCCTCATTAATTACAAGCACTTATACGTTGTTGCGAAAACTAGAAAACATATTAGCGGACCAGATTAGTTAAGGAGAATCAGCAAATTCTTAAATAGGATGTGCTAATCGAACATACTTAAAAGTCGAAGACATATTTCCTAACTTGAAGTCTCACCTTTTAATTTATGTAACTAATAAAGAGACGAAAGTATTGAGTCAACTTCAGTATCCACCTAGACTACATTGTTTTAGGTTCCGTGAGAATGAAACTAAAATTATTTTATTTGCATCAGTTGCGCTTGTTACTTGAACTCACAAAACCCGCAATATTCGGTTTGGTTATTTTCGCTATATATTGTGTATTCTGTAGATTTATTTATTTATAAAATAGAAAAATCTTATTTTGATCGCAGGTAGGTGTATTTTATTCTCTCCTATCTCAGTTTTTTACAATTAGATATATGAAGACAAAGTCTGTTGATCTAAGATATGCTGCACATGCAGAAGCAAATAATTCTAAAATAAATGTCCTTATAATCCGGTTGAATTGTACTGAAGAGTATTATCACTGATATTTAGTGATTTATTCTTGATCAGAGCTATCTTTTACCTAGTTATATCATGAGAAAAATTATCAGAGGCAATGTATGACTTAACAGTCTTCGTTTTTAGACTGCGATGAAGCCATATTTTATAAACAAGTCCTGGTTTAGACCGAGGATGATTCTTGCTGCAATGTTTTGCCTATTTCAAAGCAAAAGCAATAATTAAGGGATTACTGACCGGTAAATTGCTAATCGCGATAACAACACACTTGTGAAAGTGATTTCTGTAAATACCACAGGTTTAACTGAGCCACTCATTATTACCACGTTCAGTTGTAACGGTAATTGGATTCGTATTTTGTTTCGTAACAGGATGTCACATTAATATAGGTGAATCCTGAAAGAGATATAATTATGTAACGTGAATACAAACGCTACCTAAATTTGCAAATCTCTGTAGACCAGGATAATATTTTCGAATGCGTAGACCAAAATTATGTTTTATTAAACGTAAATAATGTATCTGAAGTAGGGTTATGTTTTTTAACTACTTCATAATAACTTACATTCTGTATAGTAGTGTGAACTACACTTCGATTGTGGTACTTTACCGACCCTAACATCTTATCGCTAATTATTTACTCATTACTGAAGATGAAACTGTTCAACATGAAGAATCAATGTTTTTGAAATAATAGTTACTTTAATTTTATTATAATGAAGTACTTAATGCACTAAGTGACGCTGATTCTCCAACGTAAAATATATTTTGCATCATTTTAATCACTTATTGAATAATTTGTTGTAGATTTAACAGACGTTTAGTTTGTACTTGAATACAACCAAGTAATTACTATCTGTTGAGATATCTTCACGTTTTCTGTCACTAGCAACTCCGCTCAACACCAAGTACAGTTATTCCTAACTGAACTATCCAGACTGTTTTGGTGTTTGCCATTACTGATGTACACCGATTTGATATTTATTCTTTTTTGCCGGTCATTTTAATAAACCGGAAAACTATATGCAAACCCTTAGTACCCACTTTCTTCGTGTTATTTTTGTTTTACTACTGAATTAAATTTACAATGATACAATGACACACTTTTCTGTCTACTTTAACGGTTAGAAAATATTTTAATAATGACTTAAGCTCGGTAAATTTTAAACACTAAGACAAATTCCCCCTAATTTAAACAATTAATTTGCTTTGCTGATATTTTGTGGTATAATAATGAGTCTTAGGTAGAAGAGCAAACTAATATGGCTTCTCAAACTAGATACCCCTATAAAAAATTTATGTACGTGCACATTGTACACTTGTTTTAACTGTACACTTATTTTCCATAGGATAAGTAGTTGTATATTCAAAAGATTGAGCTGGATTTTGAGCTAATGACTGTCAACATTTTCACCAACATTCTAATGAAATATTCAGGACACTGGTCGTGTACGGAAGTTTATATGTCTACCTTTTATTTTCTTCATCGGAAGTTTGGGAAGAAAAAGGACCTTTTATTTACTTATGTTAGTGAACGAATTCAGATGAATACACCAACATTTAGGAGTTTAAACAGGACGCTTATACTGAGAAAATTTCAATGCCATTAAATTGTTAACTCATAACATATATTTATTTACAATAACTGTAATCTCAAAGAATATTTCATTCGCTTCCAAAATATTGCTTAAGTATAGTGAAATAATCGAGTAAGCAATACTAGTTTTAGATGTAAAGTGCTTAGAACTATGTAAAACCAGTTGATTAGGATACATGTTGCACAGTTTAACTAGCTTGTACTCAAACGCAGATTGTTAGTCCGGATAAGAGTAGAGAAGAAACGAAAAATTGGAGGCCAACCCAAGAAAACAGATTAGTTCATCAGGTGATCGAATGTTATATTTCGATTTTGTGGCGATGAGAAAACCTTCTAGGTACAATCTATTTATTATTTATAATCAAGATATAAAAACTCTAGGTCCAGTTGTACAGATGCCTTAACTTTTTTGACTTGACATAGATCTTGAGTTATAGTATAGTCTCCTACTTATCTCCGAAAAATTTCCCTACAGTCTTAGCTGTGTCCTCCGTGTTTAACCGGTTTTGTCGCCATTAGAAACGTTACTTTCAATATTTTCCAGGCAAACATTTTGTTAATCTCACTTTGCTCTATTGATGTGCTATGGTAGCTTAAGCTGTTACTTATTTTCTCCATTAGCTAAGTCAGTTAGTTATTATATTTTCTTAAAAAAAGCTAATTTTCAGCGTAATACAATAATTTGTTAATCCTTAATTTTCAATACAGCTTCGAACTTGCATAATTATTTCTCACATACTCATATCTACATGTACATTTAAGTCGTTCGGCCAATAAGTCACAAATAACTTAGGAACCTTGTGTAAATATGTGTTGACCAACTTCTCCACATCTCATCGACTGCATAGAACGTCTCTTCATCTTGTCTGTTTATGATTATTGATTTCAAATATAATATCTAGATATTTCAAGGATTATGCTGTTTAAAAAAACCTCCAAGACACACTAATCACAGTGATTGATTCACTTCCTGATGAGCCTTGGCTTTCATTTGAGATGAGCTATCAAATTTCTAGGCCATTTTCATTCCTAACGGATGCTGCGTTGTTAAAGAACACAATAATGCCAAGGTCATGAAACAAAACTTCGCATTATAAATTCAGTGGTTCAATGAAAATAGTAAGAAAAATAGATGTGAAATCGAATTGACTGTTTTTTAGTTACTATAATAATCCTTAATTAAAAATTTTTTATTCTGTTTAAAAATCTCTGAATATAAATACCCTAATTCCATTATACACACATATTAATCACTGATCTTGTATCTTTAATTTGATTAATTATAGATTTACGGACCATTTTCATGAAGGAATCATGTTTTAGGTCAATTCGATTATTTCAATATTCTTCACGGTCATTCTTCCGGTCATAACAAGCCACAGAGTTAACTTATTCAAGCGGTTCTCTATGATGGACTTATCTTTAGTGAATCAAATATGACTAAGCTTAGCTTTCGTAACATAAGTAATGCTAAATAATTTCGCACTATTAAAATTTTTTTAAAACATCGTTCATTATTAATTTCAGTCATTGATAGAAATTTTTATTCAATCTTCTTTGTAATCCAAATAATGTCTTTTACATAGTCATTAGTAAAGTAATTACATTTTTATTCTCTAAAACACAACAAAATTCAGTTTTTTACTTACAGTTTATTCAAATGTTAACAGAACTAAATAACAGTGATTATTATTTGGTTTTATTTTGTTCTTTGCTAGTGTTTTTATTGATTTATCATAATAAAAAGACTAATTTGCTAAATGTCTTAATAAATGTGATTCAATTTTTTGAACAGCCTTTGTCATTTGTTGTGAATTAATACATTGATCGTAAATTTAAATAACCGATACTTCTAGTCATACATCATATTAAATATGTAATATTTTACTACACAATGATATACACACTGTTTTTCTTGTACTCTGAAGTTGTTTTAAACGATCAACCTTTTTTAAAGACTGTCAGTGGAAAACAAAATAACATGTAGTTTTCAGAATTTTACTATTCACTAATAATGCGGAAAATAGACAGATTTAGCTCAGTGCTATATAAGGAGAGCATTTCCCCCCCACATTGTAAACTTTGAGATCTTTTTCTTTAATTCACTCCCTTTATAGTTTTACAAGTACCTAATCATACATATTCCCCACATTTATTTACTTTTGATGCCATTGATGTTTTTAGAATATGATAACTTCATTCTCATTCACTGCTCATAATTAAGTAATTCTATGGAAATAAAATTCCTTCTATAAAAAATAGAGCATATATCACAGAATATTAGACTTACTGAAATTTATGGTCGAAATGTAGTTTGAACCCGAATGTTATTTGATAGGACGATATAAAAATTATTTTGGACAATGGTGTAACAGTGTTGAAGGTGACCTCAGCCAATGCTGTATAATAATGGTAATCTAAAAGAAAGATAAAATTACCTGTTAAACTGATTGAGTTCTAATCAAGATTTGAATAGTCCAACAGTAATTTGCGACTCTGTCTATCTGCATTACTAAAGTAATTAGAAGGTAACTCCTAAGTATAGTTACTTACATAGATCAGGAACGATTCGTCCTTTTGCAGTGGTCATAGCCCAAACGGGTGCTGTTCACCTTAAGTTCTGTCTTTGGTACGGCTTACAATCCATCTGTTGCCACTGTTTAAGCCTTAAAAAATACGATCTTCAGAACTCAGTCAACAAGATATGCAGAATCTAGTCACTCAGTTTTTTCACTAGACTAGGAAAGGAAGTACTTTTCAACATAAAAAATCGAGATTTCAAACTGCTTGCATGTTTAGTTTTCTGTTGATCTATTTCTTTGAATTGTAAAAAAATTATGAGCTTAAAAGGTGTAGATCTATTCATCCCCTAGAAGATTCGAAGGTGGATATTAAATTTCACCCGTTATCAGAACTTACACTGCGACATATGTAAACGATTGAATGGATTGTTAATTTGTTCATTAATTAAATCTCAATTATTTTTCCGCATAATCCCTATCATATTTCTAATGCTCCGTTTAATATTATCACACACCGATTGGTTTTAGACTCCATACACTTTGTTGTTTTAACCGACTTGTGTGCTCGAAAATGTAAAGAGTGTTTACAAAATAGTATTACTTATTTGCTTACGTCTGTTACCTCCCGATGGAGCATAGTCTACTGACCAGTATTCTCCAACCTAATCTGTCCTGGGATTCCCTTTCCAGTTCTATTTAATTTTGTTCATTCTTGTCATATCCGTCTCCATTTCTTAGCGAAATGTGTTCCTTTGCCTTTCTCTTTTCCTCGGACCTTTGGGGGTCAAAGTGAGGGCTTGTCTTGTGTCACAGTTTGTATGTATGTCCTATCCACTTCCATCACTTCTTCTCGATTTCCTCCGCTGGAATCTTGTTTGTTCTGTCCCGCAGTAGGGTGTTGTTGTTTGGCCAAGGGATCCGATGTATTTTGCGTAGACAACTGTTTATGAATATTTGTATCTTGTGGATGATGGGTTTGGTAGTTTTCCAAGTTTCTGCCCCATACAGTACAATTGTTTTGACATTTGTATTGAAAATCCTGATTTCGCTGTTTGTTGATAGTTGTTTGGAGTTCTAGATGTCATTAAATTGTAAAAATGAAGCCCTTGCCTTGTCGATCGGCGCCCTCATATCTGCATCGGATCCACCTTGATTGTCGATGATGCTGACAAGACATGTAAGGGTGTTAACGTCCTCCAAGGCCATCTCCATCAAGCGTGATTTGGTTGGCGCATGTTGTGTTGAATCGTAGAATCTTGCTTTTTCCTTTATGTATGTTGAGACCTGTTGCTGCTGAGTCTGCTTCTACAGTGGTTGACTTCTCTTGCATTTGTTGTTGCGTGTGCGATAGAAGAGCCAAATTATCTGCGATGTCCAAATAGTCCATTTGCATGCTGGCTGTCCACTATATACCGTCCTCCTCTCCAGATACTGACGTCTTCATTTTCCAGTCAGTCATCAGGAGAAAGAGAGAGTAAGCAACCTTGCCTGACACCGGTCTTCACCTCGAAAGAGTCTGTAAGCTGTCCTCCGTGCACGATTTTACAGTTTAATTCATTATACATCATTACACACCAAACACTAGATTATTGCTTCTCATGGTAAGAATGAAACGTTTAAATTAGTGAACTGAAATCCAGTTATTCACGTAACCCAAGTCAGGGTTTATGCTGAAATTATATTCATTTTCAATAATTTAGCTTAACTAGACATTCCTTTTTATTAGAACATTGTACAATACTTCATGAGCACTTCAAGAGCACTAATTAATTTGATGTTTATTTGGAGAGTTTTGTCTAGTATGAAAATAGATTTTCAACAAAAATCGATATTAATTGTTCAAGCATTCCGTAATTTACAATACTCTTCCAATTAATAAAAATAAATGAATACTTATTATTTCGTCTCTTTTGTTTTGCTTCACCACTCTATCTGTTACTTTTTATTTAACAAAACAATTTTTTGAATAACAGCTTACAAAAAAAGGTATGATCAAGAAAAAGTTTGTATTAACAAAAATGATTTTAATTGAACAGCCTGACAAAACGGAAAATGAATTTGTTTACTATTAAATCATTCAACACATATATGTATGCTAGATGATTTTTTCTTTCATGAAACTTTCTTTTGTATTTTTAATTTCCAGCATATCATTGAAATGATGATTCGTAACCCTTTGAATGCTGTTTATTTATCATTTATTTATATATTCTGGTTATTCCTACTTTCTCTATATACCGATGGTTATTTAATTGGAGTTGGAATACATGATATAACTGGCCCAATAACAGACATAAACATGGTAAGAATAGTTTATGTGATATTGCGTTGTTCCCAGAAGCTTATTATAAACAATATCATGTCACTAATAAATAATACAAGCTGTATTTGTTTTTGTAAAATCAGTAAAACAAAACATTTAATGGCTTCTTAAAATAACTTAGACAAATCGATGAAAATTTGTGTTTGTTTTACTGCTAAGTAAATAGATTCAGAGACGAGTCAAACAATACAAAGACAATTTTCAACCAAAAAATTAAAGTTCGCTGTAGAGTTGTTAGAAGCAAGAGAGAAAAGATGTTTATAGGTAGTATATATCGCTTTAGTACTACCCTCGAATAACTCTAGTTTAGGTCATGCAAATAGCTCATTACTGTCAAGTTGCTGAATAATAATCGAATGTTTAGCGTTTTTCAGAGCTTCTGTGAAGATTTACCACTATTCAAAATGTGATTAGATTCTCAGATAACATCTGGATATCTAAATTTCAATAATATAGATTGTTAACACTAAGAATGTAAGTAATGAGATATTGACAGATAGATAGGTAGAAGTTTCAAGAAACGACACACATGATGACTGCTCAAGCTGTTCAATTTGATTCAGTGAGGAAATTTAATTTGTCAAAGTTGTTTCAAAATATTTTTTACTTGCATATTCCATGAAGATCCTATGATATTTTGGTCGTAGTCAAATGAAATAATAATGTTTTCGTAATGAACAGACTAACTTAAAACCGACCAGCTAAGTGAGCGTCTGCTAGTCTGGAACACGTTGGAAAAATAATAATGGTCCAAATATTCAGTTAACAAGATATTCGAGAAGTCAGTACTGTATTTCATTGTCACTCTTAATAGCTTACGTTATAAAATAGCTAAACTGAATTTGGAAACAGATCATTTGAATTCCTAACTCAGTGGTTTAAAAGTATTCAGGTCGAAGTGACACTTGTAAGTACTCGGTTTGATGGAAAAAGTCCTGGAGAACAATCGAGAATGAATTAGCCCATCATTGTTCCCTGATTACTAATAGTTTCCTATGTGATATTACTAAGTAACATCAACTATCTTCGAAGTCAATAAACTTACTTTTGCATAATAATGATAATAATAATAATTATTATTATTACTATCATTATTATTATACGATGATAAATAGATTATTTCCGAAGAAGAACTCCTCTTCCTATTGATTTTCCATAAGTTTTTCTCCATCATACGATAGTATATTCAATGAATGGATTAGAAAACACCCGTTTTATGAGGGGGAAAAACACGAACAGTACATTTTTGTGGTACCTGGTTTTGTTCCTTAGGACTCTATGCCTTAGAAAACTGATAATAAGTTACGTACAATGTCACCAGCAACTTTTCAAGAACTGCTTATCTTTTTAGAAAAAACCAGCTGGATTAATGACCACAAAATTTGTTGTTCACAGTAATAGTAATAATAATAATAATAATAGGACGAGAGAGGAGAAATTTAAAAATTAGTATAGCCTGAAATTTTTGTCATTGACAGCTTGTTGTTGGATCTTGTTGTCTTTTTTTTAAAAAATAAGTTTGATACAGTCCAATTGCTTGGTTTATATTTCCACAGTCAATTACTTTTACTTTAAGAGTGTATTTCTTGTTATTTTCTCTTTTAAACTTAAAATAAATTCAAATAGAATCCTAATTTTAATTGCTTTTTCTAACTAGATGTGTTTTTAAAAAAAGGGACATAATTTATTCAAGAAAATAAGCATTGAAGTGTTTTTGATGATGCACTTCTGGTAATGTTGTAGGTGGGAGTAGTTAAAAAAAAATCATTTCATGTTTTGTTACAATGATAATTTCAAGAGAATTAAAAAATTCACTGAAAATGTCGGCGCTAAGTAGCTCATGTATTAAATCAACAGGTTGTTTCACTTCATTATTATTGTATTTTCTTCTTCGGTTGTTCATCTTGTTTTCTTTTCCTTTTTTTAGATGGGCTATGGTAATATGAAACAAAATGATAATGGCCTTCACTTAAGATTATTTAGTCGTGCATTTATTATTCAAGAGAATTCTAGTTTACAACCAGTTGTCATTGTTATAATCGATTCTGGTATGGTATCACAAGCAGTTAAACTTAAAGTATGTCATTGTGTGAATGTTATGAATTAATAAACATAAAATAAAAAGTTACATTCAATTTAGATTCACTGTGGATATTCAAAAACTTTTAGAACAAGTTACTGGCTATACAGACTTAATGGTTTTGTGAATAATATGTTGGTAGTGTTCAAAGTTAAAGATGCTGAAGTTGAATTTCACTGTGACTGTGAACAATGACATGAAGTTATATGCCCCAAAACAGGTCTCATTTAAGATGAAAGTCACATTTTGAATTGCCTTACTAGTCATATACACTAAAAATAATCTAGTAATTTGCTTGCACTTATTATAAACAATTAGAGCTGTAGTCCAAGATTATTATTTTCCTTTACATGAACTATAATGTTGATTATTATTTTCGATCAGAAACAGTGTATTTTTACAATTTCGACTATTGAATTCAATTCGTTTTGCTAATTTGAAAAGAACTGTAAAAAGATGAATTAGAAGTTTGTTTTATGTGAATATCGAATTTAGACTTGACAATGTGATATTGTAAAATTGTTCTACGTCACATAAGTATTTCCATTTGTGAACAACTAATAACAATCTAAAGAATTTAAGTGAAATGATATTATTCTTTTCTTTTGACTTTCTTTGTTCAGTATTTATTCACTTAGATTTCCTTAGTCAGTTGATCAATAATATATGAGTGGATCAAGATAGGAAGAATTTTCTTTCATGCTTTTCTTAAATCAATCCTGTTTGCTTTTTAAAAATGATTGATTTAGTAGTTTTTAATGTTGTAATTCTTATGTTTGTAACTTGAAAAAATTGTGAATAATGCGATAAAGCTTATTTGACATTGTTATAATAGCAATATTATTATAGAAAACAATATAGGGAGTTTGTAAGGATTATTGAATCTCATATTTTACTGTACGAAGTGATTACAATTAGAAAACTGTTGAAAACAGGAAACCACTAGACACTTATTTCGTCTTTTTAAATAACTCAACAGTGAACAACCATGATCTTGCAGAACCTCCAAACCTCATTTACTAATAATAATTACATGCCCATGGTAGACATGTCAAGACATAAGTTCCAGAGTTCTAGTAATAAGTTGTGACCAGTGTTTTAAAATTGATTAGAGTGACATTGCATATTAGGTTAGCAATTTAAATGTTAAGTTGACTGTGTATCGTTTGAGATTCAGATGTGATCTTTTCAGATCTAGAATAATTATAATGTTCTTTGCTATGCACTGATTTCTCGGCCATGTGATTTAATATTTCGACCCACTTGTCCTCAACGAACATATGTTTTATACCAGTATTTCGGAGATATGAATGCTTTCTAAATTTACGAAATTTAAAATAGTTAACATTACAACACAGCTATTCTATAAAGTATATCATTTACTATAAAAACATGAAGTTGCACATCATTTTTGAAAAAGCAGTCAGTAAAAACTACATACAAATCAGTTTATTATTAACATTTTCACATAAATATAAGTATTCTAATGCTTATATAAGGCTAAAATATGATCTCATTTGTAGTACATCATTCTCAAAGTGCAGTGATTTATTTGCTTAAATGATATTATACTCCTTGATTCATGATTTTTTTTATTTGGAGTTGTTGTGTTTTGCATAATTTGACAGTTATTTCAATCATAAATCACTATTCTAGTGGAAGTTGCAACACATGCAGTTATAGAATTACAAGTGAAGTCATCAATGATATTGAATAACGGATATGAGTGTGATAAAGGTAAACTGAAATTAAAAATATCAACCAGTTTGTTTTAGCTGAGTAACTGAATGTTGTCTAATTCTTTCTTAGCAAGTTAAACAAGTCATTAGTTTGATTTAGTGAGAGGAAAGGTCACTGTTTTGAATTTCGAAACCAGGGTGATTAGGCCATTAAGTATCCATAAGTTTTCATGATGAATCCCACTGGTACTGGTTCACTGTGAAAACCGCTTTCAAATTTTGTATTCTTTTTAACTTGACAGTTCATTTTCATCTTGATTCTGTCTCAATAAATCATATATCTTCTTTTTTTGAAAAACAAAACATGATTTCAGGTCATGGATCAATTAAAAAATCAATACGGCCATGGGTTATTTACACATCAAAATGTTTTAATCAGTGCAACACATACTCATTCCGGTCCTGCTGGTTATTTACAATATGTTCTATATTCGTTTACATCTCTTGGATACGTTCCCGAAACATTTAATTCACTAGTTGAAGGAATTGTTAAGGTATTTTTGCAAACATATATTTAACATGGATCAGATAATTGAACGGAAGAGATATTGCCTTTAAAGTATCTCCTTTTTGAAAAATGACTTTGAAAGTTTAATAAAATAATGTCTTATCATTTAAGCGGTGATGATCATTACTTAAGATGGCTGAAAGCAATTTTCAAGCATCTTAGGTAGACTAAGATTTTGTGCTAGTTGATGTTCGTCAGTATGAAATATCTGCATTTCAGTCGGGAGTAACCATCCCTTTGGATTCGAATTTCACAAGAAATCTCAGTTGTTTAATGATTGCACAACGTTTCACATACAAGTTACAATCTGCATGAAACATTGATAGACGTGGTTCTTGTTAATGCTTCCGATCACCTGGTACTAAAACAAGGTTCTTCAATTTGGTCGATGAATTCCATTAACATTAAAGACTAAACAGTCATGACAGTGAATGCTACTGAGTCGTCACTAGACCTAATTGATGACTTTATTCGTGCAACACGTTTGATAAGACCTGATGAACATAAATGAACTGAGAGTACACTGCTTACATAATCAATTAAACGATTTTCGAATCACTAAATACAAGGATATTAGTGTACTAAGATATTTTCTGCACATCAAAGTTGTTGAGATATATCAGCGCAGATCTATAGAATAATCAAGAAGAAAACCTGAACATGTTAAATAACAGAGAGCCGGTAAAAACCTAGACTCTAGTTTACAGGGTGTTAAAAAAACATCCTTACGCAATAATTTTTACGCTTATGACCAGTTAGCATTGGGATACTGATGTTGAAAATGAGATAGACAAATTTCAAGGAAATTAGTGGAGTTAAATGTAGCTCAAAGAACTCGGATAGTATTCAGTGAGCACCAGTTTTTACCAGTCAACTTGTAACTATGTTATTTTAATATTCGTAAATATACTAGTTTCAGGTAAGAATGATAACATGAATCCTTGCTTTATTATCTTGCCCAATAAACTCGTTTCCCGAGTAGATGCACGTGTCCAGTGAGATGTTATAACAAGAATCGTAGTTAAATTCAATTATGATATTGACTACTACTAATACAAGACCCAGAACCACATCAGAATGCACCTAACCCTACATTTAGGTTCGTTATCGTGAGTATTAGTTTTATTTCAAATAGAAAGGAATTCCCCCCCAATAAATTCTGTCGCTAGGTACTACAACTCAAATATGCTTAAAATCAGATTTTCATGTCTAGAGATGTATTATGATAGCTTTCATTTACTATTAATTTGAAAATGTAAACTAATATTGCACTGAAATAGTTCACATTTGTAGCTTACTTTCATTTCATTTATCTGGATTTTTTTCAGAGTATCAGCTTAGCTTATTCTAATGTGCAAGAAGGGAAAATATTAAAAGCTGAGGGAGATTTATACAATACCAGTATCAATCGTAGTCCAGCAGCTTATTTGCTGAATCCACTCGAAGAACAATTAAAGTGAGTCTTTCTTATTTTAATAGCAAACTACTGGTTTTCATAGATGAATAAGCTTTATGTGTCATATTCGTTATAATTATAAAGGCTTGACACGATACTGTCCATGGATCTTCAATAAAATAATTAGGTCAACTGGAATCCTCCATCACTTGATATCAGTTATTATCCATCTAATGAAGTATACTGTGATCTAATTGGGTTAGGTAAATAAACCTTTCATATTTTGTAGTCAATGAAAGTCAATGACCGCAGATGACTAAAGAGATGGAATATAATTTGTAAAGGGAATATTTAAAGACAGAAAACCGCACCAATATTCATATTGATTCAGTATTGTATTTACATGCTTTCGTATGTGACTGATCATCTTTGTGACAAGCTTATCTTTCAGGTAGCTGTTGACAAACACTTATATTAGATAGAGAAGTTGATGTTAGTTGTTATTATCTACTGCATCTTATTTGCAGAATGCACTGTTCCCACAAAATTATTGAACGCTCACATAGTTCATTATGTATAGGTCATCTCAATTAAATTTGTCAAATATTCAAGTCACCTTCAGCTTGTTATCATATTAAATTATAAGATTTACCGAAATCTACAAGACTGAATAATATAAATTTTCTGCTTTGAAAAATTTTGAGACGTATCACTTGAAATCATCAAACCATAGTTTACGATTATTTCGTTTTGTAACATCTAAGATTGTGTTCAGGAGAATCGTTTTGAAATAATGAAAATCAATGACTGTTGAGTAACGGTTATGATTATTTTTTTTTCAATATGATACATTTATTTCCCTCACTTTTTCAACTCAATTTTCATATTTATTATTAGAAAACGAATGGAAATAAGTAAAATTCATTCATATATTGTAACTGATTCAAAACATCATGCATACCAGGTATGGTGTTGAGTAGCTACGTACATTAACTGTATTAAAAAGGAATTTTAATAGACTAAAAAATATTAAATAAATGTATTAGTGATTGTTCTGGTTGTCAGAAGAGATGTCAGCCTCTATACTTCCGAACAAACTCGGATTTCATAATAAAGCGTGATAGCTTTTCTAAATGGAAACTTTCCAACTCCTAGAGTAAAGTTTAAATGACTTTTTCTGGTCATCATGTTTTTAGCCAGTTTGTTTTTCTACGAGATGAGATTGCTAACCTTGCGCACAATCCTCCTTCTTTATGCGGGCTTTGGTCCAGGAGTTACCCTAGAGGGGGTCCTGGAGGAATGATGAGTTTCTCTGTTTCCTTCTGGGCACATAAACTTTGAACGGAGTACCGTATTACTCTATTCGTCTTGTGTATTAACTCTTTAATAGTAGTACATTCATATAACGAGTTTGAAAACAGAATGTAGCATACTTCTTTCATTTCCCCTGTTACCCATGATCTAAATTATATATTTGTAGACTATTTTTTTAAATACGCATATTGTTTGTAGATATAATGATTCTGTAGACAGAAAAATGATTTTACTAAAGTTTGTTACAAAGAATAATACACCGATTGGAATGATTAATTGGTTTGCAGTACATCCAGTCAGCATGAATAATACGAATACTTTAGTTAGCAGTGATAATAAAGGATTAGCTGCTATCTTATTTGAACAAAAACTGAATCCGAATCAAATGTTAGGAAAGGTTAGTCTGTCATTGTTATTATTATTCTTTTGTTGAAATATTTTACTCTAAATGATGCCCAAATAAACTAGTATTTTTATTGATATTCTTTTGACAAGTTCGTAAATATTTTCCTTCTCTGACAGTTGGGTTTCCCACCATACTTCCGTTAAAATGATTTGAATAACTTTAAACTCTCTGAATACAATTCGGTTATATTTTCTGACGCATTCATAAAACTGAAATTTCGAATTTCGTAGTTTACACCACGAACTAATTCTATAGTTAGATAACCACTGGAAACTGGGAAATACTGGAGAGTCACCTTAGTTCAGTGCATGTCTCGTCAACAGTACTTAATTCCGACTGTACTAGGGATCAAAGCTAGGAAATCCTAGTCATATAGGATATTTATTCATTTTATTATGTTAAAGTGAAGTAGAACCTGTTAAGCTACCGTTCACTATATTTGGTTTGAATTTTGAAAAATTTAGATAATTTATCTCTTTTATTCGATCGACTCAATTATCGAATGCCATCTAGTTTTTCTTTTCTTTAACAATTACTTAAAGTATCTGTATTCAGGACCAATCATCATCAACAGCAACGTAGAACTTAGTACGTACGTACATCAGTTCAAGTTTCCATACCACATTAGCACAGAGACGCAATTGTCAGTTCAGAGTAGAAGTAGTAAAAGTACTAGCAGTAATCGGAGAGATTGGTTTCGAGGATATTAAACACTTCGGGGCTGCTGCCGGTCCCAATCCCAGATGAAGGAGGTGGGTTGGGATGGGGGTTGGCGACTCCATCCTGCAAAGAACTAACTCGCTAAAAAAACGCCAACAAAAAAAATAAATCAAACCATGTAAATCGTTCTCTGGGAGTTAGAAGGTCTTCATTTAGAAGAGTTATGACGTCTCATCATGAAAGCCGAGTTTCTTCGGAAGTCATGAGTTTGGCGCTCCTTCTGACAGACAGAAACCTACCATGATGTAGGCAGTAACATCCACCCTCATGCCCATAAAAGCGAATGAGACCAAATAGGTTACAAACAAATCCTTACTACACATTCAGGACCAAAGGATCAAACGCTGAATATACGGTGTGCAAGCCACTCAGTGTATTGATCATAGTGATATCGATAAGACAAGTAGTTATTGCCTAATTTAAATAAAATTATTTTCCTCATAGAAATTGTATCCAAGAGCAGATGCAATAGTGTTAAATTAACCAATCTCACTAGACAGGTTTGAATTTTATTAGATTTACTGATGTACCCTACTGACTGATGTAAAAAAAAGTAAAACTGTTATCAACTGATATTTCCTAATAGTTGCTTCCAGTGATTCAACAGTTTCAAAAACGCCTCCTGTTGGACAAAAGGAATAATAATATATTTTACTTTTTAGAATATTATTATCGTATGAATGTCATTACGTAAGTTCAGTTCGCCATACCACATCAGCACAGAGAGGCGTCTGTCAGTTCAAATCCTATAAAGGTAGATATAGCAGAAGTATTAACAGTAATGAAGAAGATTAGGGTTCGAAGAATTTGTTCAAGTTGTGTAATACAGTGAGATAACTTTAGAAAGAGAAAGATAGAGATGATAAGGAATTTAGAAGATTACGATTTCAGAGAACACAAAGAGTGGATGCACCTGCGCCAATGCGAACAGTTTTGAGCCATACCATTCAAAGTCTCTAACCAGCGATTACTAACATCTCGTGAACCCCAACCAGGTAGCCTACATCTAACAACACGACTCAGTCCAGTTGTCTGTGACTTCATGGATTTGTGCCATGTTTTTGTCTGGCCGCCCCGTCCAGGTCTGAAACCATCCTGGTTTTCTCTAGTCTGTCCTTCACGAGCTATAGTTATGCGTCGGAGTAATATTGAGGAAAATATTTTATAGACTATATGAGTTAAACTGATTACTCTGAGACTGTCACAAGAGGACTTTTGTCCTTTTTTGTAAACTGCGACGATCTGTGATTGAGACCAACCGGTCGGATAAGATTATGCCCAGTTCCTAGATTCTACCTAAGACCTCAGTTAATCTAGCTGCTAAAACTGGACCACCACCCTTAAAAATCTCAGGGGTCTTTCTGTCAGGACCTGTTGTTCTACCTCGCTTCAGATTTCCTATCGCTTTCCCAACTTTATGAAGAGTCGGATGACTTACGTCGATCTGCCATTCAGATGACTGGAGAACGCGGACAACCAAAGTGTGGCTGAAGGCCGGTTGAACTGATCCCTGAAGTGTTCTGCCCATCGGTCCAACTTCTTGGGTTGAGAATGAATCATTAACCCATCCTTTTCTGAGTTAGTTTCGCTAACAGATGGATTTCTATTGCCGGTTTCCTTTATAAGGCGAAAAAGTTGTCTACTGTCACCTATCTCCTTTTAATCTCGCTTTCGCTACCCACCATTGTTCGCGATCGTTGCGTAGGCTTTTTATCAGCCAAGTGGAATGAGTTTACGAGCGTCTATCAGTTCGTTCGATCCCACTGAGATCCACGGTTTCTCCCTATCCTTATGGTTTACCTTACTAGAAGATATCACTGCTGTTTCCACAGCTTTTTGGATATCATTCCAAGCTGCCTCCGGATTGGAATCACTTACACGGTCGGCTATCTGTCTTTCTAATTGCTCCTGAAATATATTCTTAGCTATGCTATCATTAGGTAGAACCCTGAGAGGTTTTCTGACGGTGTCTTTCCTTCGTCCAATAAATCGCAAACAAATACTTGCTCGCACTAGAGCTTGATCTGAATCTAAACAAGTACCCCAGAACGAGCGACAGTCCTCTATCGAACCCCTCGATCAGTGTCTGATAGCGATGTGATCCAGTCGGATCCAGAGTTAAGACGAATTTAGAGGTCGCCAGGTCAACAGATGTTTTTCCTTATGCCTAAAGTTATTGTTTGCTAGGAATAGGCGGTTATCTGAGCATATATGCAACAGACGATGGACATTGTCTGTTTTCTGAGCCGCGACACCATAACATCCACCTACGTGTCTTTCCTTTTCATTGAGTCTACCTACTTGAGCATTGAAGTCACCAGCCATTATTATTATATCAGATTGCTCAACTTTTTGGAGAAGGTCCGAAAGCTTTTTGTAAAACTCATCTATTATCTCGTCTGAACTGCAGCCAGTGGGAGCTTAGGCAAAGACAACAGGAAACGGCGAGTGTCCCTATCTTTCCAAGTCCTTAGAATCCTGTTCAGTCGGACAGCACACAAGCGACTACCTACAGGGATCCAGTCTAGGAGAGCTATACCTACACCAGCGAGACCCCTGGAAGCAGCATCAGGGCTACCGGATACACGAAGAGTAGATCGGTATGCTTCTTTATTCTGATAAGTTGAAATCAGATTGATGATTTTACTAGGATCCTGTATGCGCATTTCCAAACCGCAGCACACATCGGTTGAGTGAGATTCTAATGTCCTAGCTAAGGAAGCCAGTTGCCCTATTTGATACAGTGCCCGTACATTGAAAGCTCCAACATGTTGTCTAGAACGCGGTTTTAAGAGACCAGGAATAACTTTTCGTGAACTCGCATCGTTTGCATTAGCGTGCAGAGAGCTGAAGGAATGTGAGTAGAGTTAGTCGAGGAGATCGGTCTAGGGGAGCTAGTTCTGCCTTAGAACTTAATGCTATACCTACACCAGCGAGACCCCGGGAGGCAGTAGCACGGCTTCCGAACCTACGGAGCTCAAACTGAGTTGTTTTTTTATTTAGACAAGATGAAGCAAATTGATGATTTTACTCGGATCCTGTATGCGCGTTTCGGCGACTCAGCATACATCGATGGCATGAGATCCTAAAGTCTTAGATAAGCAAGCCTGTTATCCTTTTTGACACGATATTGGGACATTAAAAGCTTCAGCATGTAGTTTAGAACGACGTTTCAGGAGACCAGAAATCATGTTTCGGGAACTCGAATCGTCTTCATTGGCGGTGCAGGATGATAAAGGAATATGAGATGGGTGATACGGGGAGATAAGAGAGATGTTAGGGGGTGTAGTAAGGATTTGATTTTTATCAAGTTGAACTTGTGTATTGTTACGCGTATGAGGGCGGATGTCACTTCCCGCCCGCCTACACCGCGGAAGGTAGTTTCTTTAGCCTTGGTCTTAGAGACCTGAAGGGACAATTGCTTCAGGCCGGTTACTCAAAGGGAAGGTTTTGAAGTGTTAGCTCCGCTCTTAAAAGCCATTACGGCTGGAGGCGGAAATCCGTGAGGTAGGGTGAGGTGTGACATTTTTAGGGTCGACCTTTTCTAACCTTCCCTTCCTTGTGAGAAGGCAGTATCGCTGCAGATGCTGGTTGTCCGAGGGAAACACGTTATACTGTCATATCTCTCTACAGTCAGCAGTACGACTTCGCCCTCATACCTCGAGTAGCTGCTTTCAGTCTGATCGTTCTCCAATCGACCTGCCTGGCATGGTAGGACCTGCAGGAACATGTGTCCCAGTCAATACAGCTCGGTTGGGTTATCACGATAGGCAAGCTCGACCATCACGTCAAGGTAGCAGCTACGGTCGGGCTTATAATTATGTATTTTAGCATGCAACATTTTTTCTCCTAATTCTCAAATGTAACTTAGATCAACAGTTTTTTTGTGATATGTCCAATTTACTATTAACTTTTAAGTTAATGTCTTATTTATAAAAGGTTTGAATGGTATGGAAATCATTGGTTGAATACAAGTGTATCATCGTCTCGTAATGAAATATTGTTTACAGTTGATACAATGAGTATGATGAAACACACTTACCTTTTCTATTATTCATAGATAGGCTGATTTTATAATGCATTCATTCACATTACTGTTGACAATCGTAATCCACCTTTAGTGAAATGCTGGACGATTTGATTCATCTGTTTACTATTTTGAATTACACAGTGACTAATTTTTTCTATTATTCTAATTTGTTTACTGTTTTCCCTTGTAAATTTATTAATTTCAAAGGGTCCATTTGTAGCTGCATTTGCCCAAGCCAATGAAGGTGATGTTTCACCGAATACTGCTGGTCCACGTTGCATTGACACTGGTTTACCATGTGATTTTGTGCATAGTAGCTGTGGTGGTCGTGTAAGCTAAGCAATCATAAATAATAATTCTAATTATTTTATTTTAGGCACAAAATTGTATTGCATACGGTCCCGGTTCAGATATGTTTGAAAGTACAAAAATAATTGCACATAAACAATTTGAAAAAGCATGGGTTTGTTATGATAATGACCATATTCTAATAAATGTCAATTTTCTCAAACTTTTTTATTGTTTTGCATTTAGTCCTTGTTTAATAGTGCTACTACTGAAGTAACTGGAGCTGTTAGGTTTATTCATCAGTTTATTAATATGACGAATATTAATTTGAATTATAAGGTAAGCTGTTATTTTTTCTAAAAATTATACAATACATGATTAATTTGAAGAATTATTCAGGTCGAACATGTAAACCAGCTATGGGTTTTAGTTTTGCTGCTGGCACAACTGATGGTCCAGGAGACTTTGATTTTATTCAAGGTATCTTTATAAGTTTTAGAAATTACACATTACCTCTGTTTGTGTTAATTTAAATAAAAAAAATATTTTGTTATTTTTCTTCAAGGAACCAAAAAAGGTACTTTATTTTGGCGAATCATTCGAGATTTTCTTAAAACACCAAGTGAAGAAATAATCAAATGTCAAGCCCCAAAACCTATTCTTCTTGCCACCGGTGAAGTAAGTGAATTGTTTGCGCAATCTTTCCTACTTGTATGATGTAAAGAAACATTTTTTAATAAAATAGTAAATAACAAGAACGTTTGTGAAATAAAGTGAATCTATTGCATTTTGTTTATTCTAAGCTAGTTTCAAAACGCATTATTTTTATGCGTAAAGATAAAACAAGAGTAGGTTTCTGAACAAAAAATTGTATTCATCAATGCTTGTACGAATAGGTTGACATAAATTAGGCTTCAGTTATTTAGAAGACATGATTTGTATTATAAAAAAAATACTATAATTAAAATAGTCTCAATAACTATAAAATATAATATAATTTCAACGTTTTAACTCAATGAACTTAGCTGAACTTCTTTGGCATACAACTATCAAAATCAAAATTATGAAAGACAATAATATTAAGTTCATAAACAAATTGACTCTTAGCATTAATCAGACCATTTTTTCAAGTGTTGGTTTGTATTGTAGTATAAAAATATGAATGAAATTGTTTACAGTTTTAACAAAAATGAGTATGCCCTCGTATGTACTACTTGTATGTGATTCTTAATTAAAAACATTATCCTGGATAAGTGAATTTCTTGTGATTATCTACAATCAACACTTACACATCTTCTGACTGGTACTGTAGTGAAGGAGGACACAGGTGAGGGCAACCGAATTGTATCTATCTCAAATTACAGAGTTAATTGGTAAAATAGGAAAACCATATCGTAAATCGATAATTTGCAAAACATCAATCCATCATATCGAACTGGACTGTTCCTGTTGCAAAACATCAATCCATTGTCTGACATTTCACTGTTCATGCGTTTCATACAAATTCCATTGTGTTCCCACTCTTCCTTTCTTGATCTTTCCTCATCTTCTGCTGCCAGACATTACGATTTTACTCGCGTCAACTACTACTAATAAGTAGCGCGCACCACAGTACTAATATTTTTGTCTTAATGTTAACTTTAGAATTCATTTATAATATTCTATTTATAAATTGTAAATGTGACACATATTTCTGCTACCAGTTTCATTCTATAATGAAAACACATTTTCTCAAAGTGTTAAAAACATAGTTGTAAAAAAAGCCCTGCTGTGTGCACAACTCTTTAAACAACTTCCGGTATATTTGAGATTTAAATGTGACAATAGCTCAACAATTTCATGTATACTTTGAATCATTCAACAATGCATTTAATTATTTGAAGGAAAAATAACAACATTTTCTGTTTTCATGAATTGAAGTTGGCAAACTAATTCAGTAAAGATAAATCAGTAGTTTAGAAATTATTCGTAGGTTGTATTCGTCACAAAGTGATCTTAGTTGAGATAGTGTTCAAAACCAGAGATCTTATACTTTATTATTATAATACAATTGTAAGTATGTGTACCAGCGTTTTCTAGCAAGTTTACTCTCAGGAAATTTAGCCTAAGTTTTGACATTTCTACATCAATAATTCATATTTCCATCTCTAAACTAAATAAATGAGTTTTATTGTCAAATGGTGAGAATGAAATATCATTTCTGATTAACTGATTGTGTGGTGGACGCTAATCACAAGATTTTTTATAAGTAGAATGCAGTGGAGCCTCGTTTGGAGGTTGATACAGTCGATGGTCGAAGACAAGAGTTTTAGGTGAACAACAGTATGCTACGTTCAGGATACTTCGGAGACAAGAGGAGGAGAAAGAGAAGATAGGCTTTGACCAGCTTGCTTCGAAAAATATACAACAGGTGCAAATGGACTATTGAATATTAAGTGCACATATTTTGGAAACAACTGTGTTTTAATTCAATATATATATATATATATATATATATATATATATATATATATATATATATATATATATTCCATCTGAACTTGACTTGTTTTCTTCTACGGAAGTAAGACACCTCTAATGGGATGACACAGAATTCTACAAGATTTCTCTATACAGTCATTTTTAGATATAGAGCCATCAGCTTTTGTTAATGCATCATATTCTGTGGTTAATAGCACAATAACAATATGACGATTATTAAACCGTAGGTTGGTTGGTACATAATGTAATGTATGGAAAAAAATGAATTATTTTCCTTTAAACACTAACCTTCGAATATACTACATCCTGCACTCGCTTTTTCTCATACACAATGTCCTTAGTTCTTCTGTAATTTATAACTAAACCCTTTCATCATATTTTGTAGATGAATGTTCCTTATCCTTGGCAACCATCTATTGTTGAAACTCAAATTGTCTCGATTGGACCCCTTTTGATTGTCGCCTTACCTGGTGAATTTACCACAATGTCCGGAAGACGCATTCGTGAAGCAGTCACTGAAGTAATTACATATATATATATATATATATATATATATATATATATATATATATATATATATATATAGTACTGTGCATAAAGAAGCAGTGCATATGATGTTAACTTATTGTTTCGTTGCATGATTAGTTTGAAAGTAGGCATTATTTTAAGTTGGAGAATCTAGTCCGTTTATGTTTGACTAGTCAACTAGTTCTTTTAAACGCATATGCAACGCAGATTTTTTTTGATTATCAAGAATTAAAATTCCATAAATTATCTTCAGTAAAGCAATATTGGGTTATCAGACAAGAGATACGACTACCTGGATAGCTGTCCACAAATCAGCCTTCGAACACTTAATTAGCTACGATAAAGGAACTCAGTGATCATATGTAACTAATCAGTTACATCTTAGTAAATAACATTCGATTGCTTTTATGTATTTATTTAGTGATATAGTACATTCTGAAAAGAATATTATATAGATTGTTAAAATTTAATTTACGTTTTTATCAGTTCATTTGACGTGATATTCGTTGTTATGAAATATCTGTCAACTGGATAAATTTTTTGTGTTCATTTTAATTATTTAACACTGAACTAACGTAAATACTTAATAGTAAATATACAGTTAATTTTTAAGAAAAAATTAGCCTCAATAAGCACCATAAGTCAAATATCAAGTGGCCATAAGTTTATAACTATTGAATTGATTTCAAGTGAATAGATTTGTTAGATAGAATGTTGGAACATTAGAAAAATATCAACCATATCAGTTCAATGCATGATGCTCATCATATTTAATTGATCAAAGTTTAATCTACATCCAGGACATGCTAATAATCATCTTCAGGTAATTCACACGAAACCTAGTGCAACATTTAACTCCTATCGTATTTTTATTTAATTAGTTGTTTTTATCTGATCTCAATTTTGTTCGACAAAAATTCTCACATAAATATGAAAATATGTCACACTTTACCGTTACGATCGATACTATAATAGAGGTCTATTTACTTACCTACTTACGCCTGTTAACCCCGATAGAGAATAGGCCACCTACTAGTATTCTCCAACTTACTCTGTCCTGGGTTACGCTATCCGGGTCTTTTCAGTTTTTGCTCGTTCTTCTCATGTCTGTCTCCATTTCTCGGCGTAATTTGTTCCTTGGCTTTTCTATTTTCCTTGAACCTTCAGGGTTCAAAGTGAGGGATTGTCTTGTGACACAGTTGGGTGCTTTCTGCAGTGTATGTCCTATCCTCTACCACCAATTCTTCCTGATTTCCTCACCTGCTGGAATCTTGTTTGTTCTGTCCCACAGTAGGTTGTTGCTGATGGTGTCTGGCCAAGGGATCCGATGTATTTTGCGCAGAAAACTGTTTGTGAAAACTTGTATCTTCCAGATGATTGGCTTGGTAGTTCTCCAAGTTTCCGCCCCATGCAATAGAATTGTCTTGACATAGTACTGAAAATTGTGACTTTGGTGTTTGTTGATAGTTGTTCGGAGTTACAGATATTGTTCAGTTGTGTAAATGTAGCTGTTACTTTGCCGATCCGCGCTTTCACATCTGCATCGGATCCACCTTGATTGTCGATGATGCTGACCAGATATGTAAAAGTCTTAACGTCCTCCATGGCATCACCATTAAGACTGACTTTGTTGTTGCATTTTGTGTCGTATCGAAGAGTCATGCCTTACCCTTTGTGTATGTGGAGACCTTCAAGGAACAAAATAAAGGGTGAGAGTAAGCAACCTTGCCTGACAACAATATTCATCTCGAAAGAGTCTGTCAGCTGTCCTCCGTGTACGATTTTGCAGTTGAATCCATCATAACAATTCCGTATGATGTTAACTATATTCTCAACACTCCGTAGTGTCAAGAAAGCGTGCCTAGTGTCATCCTGTCCACGTTATCAAACGCTTCCTCGTAGTCAATGCAGTTGATATAGAGTGGTGATTTCCATTCAGTTGACTGTTCCACAATGATCAATAATGTAGCAACTTGAATAGTACACAATCTATTCTTATGAAATCCAGCCTGTTCATCTCGAAGTTGGGCATCTACAAAGTCCTCCGTTCTGTTTAACAATACCATGTTGAAGCCTTTGCCTGACACTGACATTCTCAAACTAGTTGAGATCGCCTTTCTTTGATATTTTAATCAGGTTACCCTCCTTTCAGTCTGTTGCTACTTGTTCTGCATCCCAAATCTTGTTCAAGAGAATGTGGGTTATCTTTACAGTCGCTGTTACATCCGCATTCATTGCCTCTTCTGGAATGTTATCTGGTCCCGCTGCTTTGCTCCTCTTGATTTCTCTGATGATTAGACTGATCTCTTCAATTGTTGGTGGGCCAACATCGATTGGGAGTTGCATGAATGTTGCGTGGCTTCAGTGGGGATGATCGATTCAGAAGTTCCTCCAAGTGACCTACCCACCTGTTTCGCTGTTCTTCAATGTTGGTGATTGCTTCGCCTTCCTTGCTCTACACTGGTCGTTCTGGTTTACGATAGGTGCAGCGAGCTTCTTTGTTGTATCGTACAACTGTCTGGAGTTTCCTTCTCTTGAAGACTTTACCACCGTCATTGCTAGATCTTCCACTTATTTACATTTGTTGGCTCTGCTGCTCCTCTTCACTTGCTTGTTTGCTACTTTGTTCTCAACTTGTGCCTTGACTTTCTCTGCTCTTGCTCAGCTGATGTTGATTACTGCCTTCTTGTTTCTCTTTTACTGAATATTTTCAAAAGTTCCAACAGAGATCCATTGCTTATGATGGTACTTCCTGTGGCGCAGAACCTCCTGATATGTTGAAGTGAATGCATCCTTGATCACTTTCCAATTGTTCTCCATTGAGTAAATCGTGCAAGGCCTACAACCTATCGCTGAGGACTATTTATAATTGGTAGTGCTTTCCGGTGTTCAGAAGAAAGGCTGTAGTAAACGTTGGTGATGTTTTCCTTTCCGTTTTACAGTGTTTCTTGAGTTTTAGTTTCATCTTGGTCGCCAGGAAGTGATGATCTGAGGTTAGATCATCTCTTCTCTTGGTTCTCACATCGTAAATTGTCCTTCTGAACTTTTAATTGACACAGATATGGTCGATCTGGTTATGAGTAGAGTGATCGAGTGAAATCCATGTAGCTTTGTGTATGCGTTTGTGTGGGAATATTGTGCCACTGATGACCAGTTCCTTTCTCCCAGTCCATGTCGTCATATGATGTTTTCATGTCCAATGTTGTCCATGCCAACCTTGGAATTTCGGTCTCCAATCAGAATGGTCAAATCCTTTGATAAGCATTTGTCGATGATTGACTAAGGCCTTTCGTAGAATTGATCTGAGAGGTTAACTTGTGACACATGTATTTTTGAGTCGGTAAATCATCTTACAATTTTTAGTTTGATAGTAATAATTATGTGGAAAATATTCATCGTTTCTATGCTACATCTTTCATAATATAGTCTAATATACTTATACACCTCGAATTAACAAATGAATGGTCTATAAGATTGACTCATCAAATACCTTCAAAGGTTATCTCATTCATTATGACTGATAATGTTATTTATCATATCTGTGGTGTACACTGATATCAGTTGCATTATATTTCACATGTAAAGATTCTTTTCTTAAAATATGCAAGACATTTATCTTATAAAATAATTTTGTTATCTCCGTAAGCATTTTATCAATGAGTAACATGAAATTTGATTTGTTTGAATCTAATCCAATAAATAATATAAATTCCGTATTAAGTGTAGGCTAGTATGCATTGTTTTAAAGTTACTGGATTGTTTCAGCTAAAACAGAAGCTAATGCGCTCAAACTTGCCAACAAGGGTTAATAAATAAAACGTTTTCCTCACTAATTCGTCGCTTTGGAGCTTTATATATTGGTGTTAATGAATATGTCCAGAAGCCCATATTGCTGGTCGCAGCTTGCAGACAAACTAATTAATCCATTCTGCTCGAGTTATTATTCACACATCTTTTGGCCTTGTCAATTATTCACTTATAATCTTAATTGTTTTTGCTTGTGTGTACATGCATTGCATAATTTGCTTATGTTTGTCTGACTATAAATAGTCAGCCATGTTCCATCGCATAGAGTTGACCCATTCTCCATATCCGCTTTATTTTGCTTTGCCTTACTTTATGTTTTGCATCTCATTGTCTGTCAGCGTACCCGAACGTATGAAATAAATTCATCCAAAATAAATCGTATCGCCGTCTCATAAACAGGGGTTTGCCACAGAGTGATAAGCAGAAATTAAAGATTTATTCCAAAGCATATTTAATTGTTCATAAAATTTAGAGTTGGAACCCGAGCCACTAAAATGTCCATTGGTTTGTTCTCTGGTTGCCTAGATTATTATATCAGAAATTACCTTACTGTCAGATAGTAACTTCAGTTTTCTCGAATTCTCTGCTACTTAGAATAGTCTGAATAAAGGATACAAAATGTTATTGTTAACCTTGAATTATTTACTGAAGTTTTTATGAAGACATTACGTTATAGAACGATTAGTGTTAGATAAAGAAACTCTTAAAAACCATTGATGTAAATGGCTTTATTCTAACTGACTGGTTTATGACCTTCAACTTTCGCTTGAAAATGTTCGATGTAGTGGACAAATTGAATTCAGGTAGTCAGTAACATCCAATTTTTGGATTTTACTTAAACAACATTATATACAAGTTCAAAAATAAAAAAATTACCGTCTAATCTCTTCTCTTTTCATGTCGATTAAATAATTTTAATTCACAGACACTATTTCTTTAGTGGCCGTTTATCGCTTCAAATGTAATTGTCTTATTTACTAAGCTGTTAGTTTTTGATATTAAATGGCATGTTCAGCTAGGATATTATTAATGATTAAAAAAAGTATTTGTATTTTTCTTGTTGTTGAAATTCAGTCTTGGATTTCACTAACAGACACAATTCCAAAAATACTCAGTTGCCATGACAAAGGCTACATTGAACCATCCTCTCAGAATGCGCACACGCCAATAAACACAGGTTAGAGATCAGCTCTAAAAATCAATAATGGGATAATGCAAATTTTTCTAATTTTGGATAAAATAAATTTACATATTATTCACATATTTTAATGATGATTGATTCATTTTATTTATGCAACGCTACTAATTTAGCTCGAATATAATTGATTTTTTTAAAACAGCTATAATTCCTATGTGAACAAAACTTGAATATTTTAGATATAATGCCTACCATCGTTTATATACACTAATCCTAATTTTATCCACTATCACAGTAAAAAATATTCGGCTTCTAGATACAGATAGCTTTTTGTTATAATTTAAGAGAATAAGAAGTGAGTACATTAGTTGAGCATATATTCAATCGTCAATTAAATCTGTTTCTTTTAATTTATCTTTGATCCATTTGTGTGCGAACAACTGATTTCAAGTATATGTATATAAATATATATTAAAATCGCGAACTGACCTAAATTAGACAACTATTTAGAACCTAGAAGCACTGGAAGACAATTTAGTTTTAATATAAAACTTCTCAGCAGTGCACATTCATTACTACACATCCGGTAATCGAACCCGGAACCGTCGAACTCGTGCACGACGTTCAACCTTTGGACTACTGGACCAGTATCCGATGTTCTACATATCTAACTTGAAGTAATGCACGAAATTATGCAACAGTCTTTCATTGTCTTGAGTATTTTTATGGTGTTACATTACGGTTTGTATTTGTTTTAACTGTTTTGATTGGTGGAACTGTTAACATGATTTCAAAATAATCAGCGCTAATAATGTCAGAGTATATAAATCTCTTGGTCAATGTTGCCATTTGACTACATCTTTCTATTTATATACATATATACCTGCATATGAACATGCATTTATACATGTACACGTACGTGAATATCAAGAGTATAGACAAATGAATAGTGAATAGACTTTGATCATCTTCATTGAATTTTTATGCACTTACCATTCAAAATACTCGTGCAGTGACATATTTACATGATTGCCTTCCGTGAATCTATGTCGTTAAATATATTTACTAAGATTTTAATCAGTTAATTAACAACTAGTAAGTAAATAATAAAAGCAATTATAGTAATAAAACAGTCGAACATTATGACATCATAAAATTCTAATTATACAAAGCGAAATACAAATAAGTAATTTGATATTATTAAATACTACAAAGCAAATATTATGTTTTCACCAAAGCAATATTTTCTATTTTATGTATATATATTCATAGTTAACAGTATACATTGTAATTAGTTATTTAAAAGGATAATATAATGCTAAACTAGATGATAGTTGCGTTTCATCACAAAATTAATAAATAGTTAAAGTTAAGACATTTGATTACTGAATCTTCGACTACTGAAGTTCATACGAGATCTCGTAAGCATTGGGGTTAATTCATATAGGGCATATAAAAACCTTTAGCAGAAGTGTCGGTAAATGATACCTGTACGTTATAACGAACTGATTAAGATTAGTAACATAAACCGTTGAATATTAACTAAATGTTTTAAAGGTAACTCAGCGATTGAACATATTTATATGCTGAATTAGATTTCTGATATGATATTCGATGAATATAACTTTGGGGTATCCTAAATCAGAAAGCTTTGAGGTGATTCTTCGTTCCCCTTGGCTCGCCAGATGGTGTTGTTATACAATGAAAGTTTTACATATCAATCAACCATAGTATAATATGTCGTGTTAAAAAGAAAAACTACCAAAAAAAGTAATGGTCGACTTGGCCAGAGATTTGTTGAATTATAATCCTTAAGAGATATATAAATAGTAAATGAAATACCTAAACACCACCAGAATTATCGATCTAGAAATATATGTGAATTAAATAAAGACTAATTAGAATTATTTCGAAAATTCCTAACCAGAACTAATACAGATACTAACCGTGTTGTCTAGTCTAATTGGATTCATCTTTGTAAATTATGGAAAGGTGATTAATTTCAATAAACATAAAAGAATTTTAAAGTTGATGCACTGATATTCGTAAACTTCTAATTTACGTAGCCGGTGGTGGTTGGCTTGAGACCTACTTATTGACAAAATGTAAGCTGCTCATTAATTGATTGGATTATTGGCCAGGAATGATGGAAATTGTGTGTATTAGTTTAGTTGGTAATCTTTACTTTACCTTTATCTCCTAAATAAATAAATTAATGCATAAACGCCATAGAAATGTTTCATGATTAATTTTTTAGTGATTATCAATGAACATGTTTTCTACAAAAGTGAAATCATGATTAAACAATACAGTTGCATAAACAAATCAATTTACAAAGACTTTTTTTCCTTCTTTATTCGATTAGGATTACTGAATTACAATTGCTTTGCAGCTACATTTTTAGGTAGCCTATACACACATAGTCCAACATAAAAAAATCTCAAGATTTTTAATTTACTGACTACAAATTAGTAGCTGCAACCTTGAAACAATGTCTTTTGTAGTTTTATCTTAACCAAATAAAGTTATATCATCTTGTTCTAACTGCATAACTGCAATAAAACAGGTTATACTAATGGCTGTACAACTGAACACTAACAGCTATTACTGGACGTAAGGAAGAAGACAAGACTATAGATGAAGATTTTACTATGCATGAATGAATAAATAAATCCACAAATGATCCAACTAATAATGGACAACTAAATTTAAATACTTTAGTTGTAAATCTCGTCCATGGTTATATATGATTACATTGAAATCAACAATAGCTGAGAAATGAATTAGTGACCTAGCAAATCTTTGTATATAATTGACAAAACCTATAGCTGTAACTGAGTTAACTAAATAGTATGAGAAAATTACTGTATTGCATATCTGCTCAATAGTTAACCTACAAGTATGTGGATTAGATGTAGGGTGACCTTGTTGTAAAAAAAAATTAATCAGTTAAAGCCCTACTGATCAAATGTTCAAGCGAAGTGTTTCGTATTGACTTCTACTAATAGAAATTCATACATTATTTAAATATTCATATATAAATAATTTTGTTTTTCCAATAGTGTATCAACGAGGAGACAGTTTTTTTTTAAAAGTCTAGGCCTTTTGTTTTTGTATGTCATCAGTCAATTATCTACTGATTAACTAATATCAATTAAGATGGAATTCGCGTTCTTGTTTCCACTTTTAATCACATACTGTATACACTGAAACACTTGATGAATGTTTAGAATTATTGTTTATTCACTTAGCGTAGAATAACACTTTCTTCTAAAACACTTAACTGCTATTAGTCTTGTACTGTTATTTACAAAATCTACTTAATTTGGACATTATTGGAATGATAACATATTTTACTAGCAATGAATAATAGGTGTGTAACGATTTTCTGAATCGCCACATTGTTTTACTATATATGTGTTATTTTAAAAGATTCTGAGCATAGATTTTTATTTAAAAACATCTTTGCATCACTGTACATTATTAGTCGCAACACTGGTTAATAAAAATGCCAATGCTCAGAAGTGAGTGGAGATAGAAACTGTATTTTAAAGTACACTAGTTTTTAGTTCATTTATTAAGTTGTAGGTAGTTTCAAAATATATTCTGTCCTCTAAATATTGAGACTGTCAAATGTTATTGCAGTATACTAGTTGGCTGGGATCCATGAGATAGCTGTATTATCCATGGTGCTGGGTTCGAACCCCAGGATGAACTTCAGCTCTGAAATGCAGGTCCATCCAGCTGACGAGTTCCAGTCAGAATGAGACGCGCCTCCTGAATTCCACTACTACCCATATTCAATTTATTCTACATAAACCTGAGGCAATTAGCACAGGATGCGCATATGCCAACGAAAGACTGATCGAATTTCGATGAGAATATCAACAACGATATAATTCAAACCATTTCGAATGAACTTTTTATCTTGGTTTTTAGATACTAAATTATCTCGACTGTTATTCATCTTCTGAATTTCCACTCGTTGTTTTGACATGGTAGAGAAACCTTGACTGACAATTTTTTACTAGGTTTTCAAGGTGATTTCAGTTGTTATTAAGTAAGTCACTGGGACTTATCCGTTATTTTTCACGCTGTCGATAAAAAAAAGTCCGATCAAGATTATATGCTCGTTGTTTTCTAAACTTTCAGATTCATGTGTAGATTATACTTGTAATTTTAAGTTAAATCTTTTGTTTTTTGTTGTTGTTGTTGACCGATATCCCATTCAGGCTGCTAACAGTGCATCTAAACAGATTAATCCAAATTCAGTTACACAATATGAAGTGATTCTTTCTGGTCTGTCCAATGTTTACTCGAGTTATATTGCAACTACTGAAGAATATCAAGTAATAATAATCATTCATTAATTTGTTGTAAATCAATTATACACTATTTTTTATTGGCCTTTTAATGTTGATTTAAGTTTTTTGTTTTCTCTAAGACTGAAAAGATACTGTTCAATTATAAATTCTCACCATCTTTCACCTATAAAAAAGATTGTGTTTAGTAATTTTTTTCTAAAAGCGAAATTTACATGTAGTTTGATGGTTGGAAGAGAATGAAGAAAAATCCATTTTTTAAGTCTTCAGAAGAGATAATTATAAGAAATAGCATTAGACATGGATAACTCAGTAAGTTTGGAGAATGCAGTTAGCATTAATAGTAAAATGATGAAATAAAAAGAGAACAATTCCTTAACAGTGATAAAATTATGATTCTGATTTACTTTGTACATTTGCATTCATATTGTGATGCATAAAATGTCAAATACTATCAAAATTGTTGTCAAATAGAATTCTTCAAAATAAACCGAAATTCTTCAAGAACAACTGTTGTGTAGAAAAACAAATTATAAATGAAACTATACACCTTACAAGTTATTTCATATGTTCAAAAAACTGAAATTTATTCATTCTGTCTCACTTTTGTTAAACATTTTCTTACAGTATAATTAGAGATATTTGCTTGACTGACTAGTTTGAAAATCGATGAATTTAGAACGTACCCTTTTGTTAAAGGTTGAACTCATATGAAATGTCTAGCAAAAATCAACGTAACATTAAAAAGCATTGATTAGTAATAAGAAAATGCAATTTCATTTTGTTAACTTGATCTTACTGACTACAAATGCTTTTTTTTCCGAAATTCTCGTCGTGTACTGTTTGAACGAAGGAGTGAGTTTGGTTCTCTCAACGTTAACATCAGTCAACAAATCGCAAACAGGATGAAATCTACAATCTGAATATTATTAACAGACGACCCAACTTCAATCAAAACTCGTGGCTAGATTAAAATATTGCGGAAATTCTTTCAGGATTCGTACATGCCTACAGTAACTAGTTAAATGGAAGCCTTTAAAATTGACATCAAGAAACTACAAACCTTTACTAACAATTAATTTCAGTCTAAACTGAGGCTTCGTAGAGAAAATAAGTTAATAAATAGCGTTCTATTTAGTTTAACTAATAGTTAAGACTATTCAAAGACGAAAGGTTATGGCTAATTGTTGTCTTTATTTTTGTTTTTGGCATCGTTTACTTTCGGCTGCTAAAATTTTCGTCATCATCTGGATCGATAAACTATTAATTAGTAGCCAGTATAAATTTAGTCTTTGCACCTGTTATTTATTAAACTCCACGGATTCATAAACATCCATGGAAGTAATTCATTTGTGATTGAATAAAGTAGCCCTACTGACTGAGAATCAAACCGGAAGCATCAGTTCCTTTGAAATTCTAAAAATATCTTTTGGTGAAAGTTTGAACTAACATGAAATCAAAGTTGAACAGTGATTCAAGTTAAATTCCACTTAATATCACTAACATCGAAATGGTAGTTCTACCAATGTGTTTCTCTCTGTTTTACTTTTTTTTAATTCTAGCTTCAACGGTACGAAGGTGCATCTACTATTTTCGGTCCACTGACACTTCCTGCTTATGTCAACCAATTCAGCATGTTAGCAACAGCTTTAATTAAAGTATGTTTTAATCTCTTCATGACAAACTAATATTACAAGTCATGATTATTTTGTTTTTTTAAAGATTTAAGATATACAGAAAAAAGACTTTAGTATTTACATAGATAAACTAAGGTATTAGTAACTTTGTTTGTCCAGAAAATGGCTTTTAATGTTTATTGTATAATTTACTATACTATGTACATTTATTTTATTATTCGAATTCAACAATTCAGTTAAAAACGTAATTTAAAGATCTCTGACTTTTAAAAATATTGACCGGTGATGGTGGTTTTGTTGGGACTGGTTTAATTTGTAGGCATTATCCACTGATAGATCTCAGTTGGAACACCACTGAAAATCATTAGGCGCCGGTAAGCTGTGTTGTTTTAGAAATAGAATGCAACAATGCATATAAACTACTGAAGGAATAGAATCTACGACCGTCGAGTCTTGCGCAGAGAGCATGAACATCAGATCAATTGAATCATCAACAATTTAAGACTTCTGACTTAAATTTATTTGTGAATTATAGTCCCAATTGAAGTTGGTTTATGACGTACCTTACCTAAAAATTATCTTTGTTCATAAAGTGCTATTTTGGCAAGTAGGATAGATATTTGAATACTGACAGAGCAACTACACGACTTTCTCATCCTTCCTGATTAACAGAGATTCCATATGTGATAATTAAAATCTTTTTTTCCTTAAGATAATAGTTATCTCGTTGTTCACAAATACATTTTTATCATAACAGTTGGTTTTTATGCATGCCGGTTAAATGGAAAAGATTTTATATGAATATGGACTTTAGTTGATTTCATATATTTGAAAGCTATATATCGACGGCTTCATTATCTTGTCTGAGAGATAAATATTGACTCAGTTAGACTAAGCAGTTTAGGATAACTGAGCAACAGAGGTTTATAGTCTTTGGGAATTTATATAATTCTGTGAGGTGCAGAAAACATCTTTGCAAATTCCAAAATCCCTAAATAATATTATTGCTTACTTAATAATTAACGCCTGTTAACTCTCATGAAGCATAAGTCACCAACCACGATTCTCCAACCAACTTTGTTGCCGGCCTTCTTTTCCAATTCCATGCAGTCGCTTTTCATTATTTTCATAACTGTCTCCGATTCTCGGCTTCATGTGTTTCTCAGTATTTCACTTTTCCCTTTGCTCAAAGGACTTCAAGTAAGAACTGGGATTGTGATTCACTCTGATAATTTCTTCAGTGTGTATCCTATCCGCCTACAGAGCATTTTCCTAATTTCTTCCTTACATTATATCTAGTTTCTTTTTCCCCACAGTAGATTGATGCTGATGGTGTCTGACCAACGGATCCGAAGTATCTTGCGCACACAACGTATCTACTGGATGAGGTTTTTGGTAGTTTTCCAAGTTTTCGCCCCATACAGTAGAACTGTCTTGATATTTATATTGAAGATCGTGACTTTAGTTTTGGTTGGTAGTTGTTCTGAGTTTCAGATGTTCTTCAATTGTAGAAAATATTTGCATTACCAATCCGCGCCTTCGCATTTGCTTCAGATCCACCTTGACTGTCGATGATGCTGCCCAGATATGGAAAGGTTTCTATATCTTCTAAAGCTTTTCCATCAGGTTTGATTCGGCTAGTGCATTTTGTGTTGTGACGGAAAATCTGTTTACTGCTACACTGGTCTTCTCCTGCATTTGTTGTTTCGTGCTCTATAGAAGAGCCAGATCACCTGCGAAGTCCAGACTGTCCATCTGCATCCTAGCCGTCCACTGTATCTCGTGGTTCCCTCCAGCTGTTGACGCCTTCACAATCTAGTCGATCACCAGGTGCAAGAGAAAGGGTGACAGTATGCAACCTTGCCTGATACCAGTATTCACCTCGCACGAGTCCTTCAGCTGTCCTCCGTGCATGATTTTGCTGATTAATCAACCATAAGAATTCCGTATGAAGTTGACTATCTTCTCAGGCACGCCATAGTGTCAAAGAAGCCTCCATAGCGTCATCCTGTCTACGATATCAAGTGCTTTCTCGTAGTTAGGGAAGTTTTGTGTAGAGTGGTGAGTTCCACTTAATTAATTATTTCATAATGATCCGTAGTGCCTTGAGCTTCATCGTTGCACCGGATAGCTGCCTCATGTTGCCTCTCACAGATTCGTCTTCTGCTAGAGCCGGATCTTCCACATATTTTCGTTTAACAGCTCTAATGCTTCTATTCACTTGTGTTTGCTTCTATGAATTTCGTCTGAGTCTTAGATTTTATCCCTCGTGTTCGACTGTTATTGCTTGTTATCTTGAATCTTATTCAGAGCGTTAACAGAGAGACATTCCGTGTGACGGTGCCTCGTTAGTCCTAACTTTAATAACAAGTTGAAGTTAGTGCTCGCTTAACCTTTTCCGTTTGTTCCACATGGTAGTTTTCGCTTCTTTGAGCAGATCCTTCAGAGGTTACTGCTTATCACTGTTAGCTGTCTTGAATTCGTCGAATTTTCCAGTATCCCAAAGAAATTCCCTATTAAACGTTTGCGATGCTGTTCAACTAGTTGTCTAGTGCTTCCTGAGCTTCATTTACAACTTGGCAACTACCGAGTGGCTATCTGAAGCTATGTCAACTTCTGTCTTTTTTCTCACACCTATGGTTCTTCAGAACTTCTGTTGATCGATTTGTGGTCGGTTTGTTTCTCCGTAGTATGGTCTGGTGATACTCATCTAGATGTGTGTATGCATTTGTGGAGGAATATTGTATCACCTATGGTCATTTTGTTGAAGTAACAGACTTATGAATCTCTCATCATTTCCATCCCTTTCTCTCGGTCCATATCGTCCCATGATGTCTTCAGGTCCAGTATCGTCCACTCTAACCTTAGCGTTTAGGTATCCGATATTAATAGTCAAAAGCTTTGCTGTGCATTTCTCTACGATTGACTGCAGCATGTAATAGAATTGAACTGTGTCGTCTTCATTGTCATCTTTGTTGATCTCACAGTACTCAGAGACATTTAACGTAATCCTCTTTCTTTGCGTTAAAGTATGCTTTGATGATCCTGGGTCGATGAGATTCTAATCCCATAAGTGATTTTTGTGCTTCTTTTGAAAACACCAGTGCAACTGCTGGTTTGTGTGAGGCATGTTCCTCGCCCTAATAGGGGGTATAATAGCACCTCTCCTGAAGCTAATCTTTTTTTATCCAGTCTGCGTTCAATGTGTTTCACTTATTCCAAACATCACTAAGTAATATCTTTTTATTTCCCCAGAAACTTGTGTAGTTTTTCGGTCCGCCTCATTGTGAAAACATTCCATGTACCTATTTTAGTGGTCGCTCTGGTTGTGAGGAGTGGCATCAACCTCGTGACTTCCACAGAAACTCAGCTTTCCGCATGAAGTGTGATAACTTTTCTAAATGAAGACCTTCCGACTCGCAGCATATAGCTTATGTGGTTTGAAGTAATTTTTCTGATCATTGTAATTTTAACACGTCTGTTTTTCGCCGGATGTGTTTTGCTAATTCCATGCACAATCCTCCTTTGTGCGGATTTGAATTGGCAGTAACCCTAGAGGAGCTCGAGATGGAATTATATTATTATAGCTACTGTCACGATATTTTCTCAATATTTGATATTGCATTCTAATATTTACATTCTAATATTTATATTTATATTTTTTCTTCTAAATATCATCAGGAACAAAACATTCCTTCTGGTCCAAATGCTCCATTTTTCTTCAACGAAATATTTAGTTTTGTACCGAAGGTTTTGTATGATACAGCGCCATTAGGAAAATCATTTGGTGATATAATTATGCAGCCGAAATCAACTTACCATAAGGTAAATTTTACTTTCATTAAATTGAGAAAAATAAAGTAACGTTTTTATTGTTGTTACCATCATCACTTTAGTGATTGTATAGCTCTGAGTACACATAAGAATTAAAAATTTTCATTGTGTGAAATATTAAGTAAACATTTAGATTTATTTCAATTGTAAATTCAAAAAAAATAGACGTAGTTTGATTGTTAATCAATAAAGCTAGCATAGTATGTGCCTCGATCAATACAAAACTTTGTTGAGTTATCTCTAATCAGTTATTTTTGACCACTTCAAACGTCACTTTCGTAAATTAAACGGTTGAATAGATCGAGTATGTAAGAAGAATTAATAATCCTGTAGACAAGACTATAAAGTATTTATTTAAGAGGCATATTTTTAGTTTTCTATGACGATTTGCTCAAAAGTTTCATCCAATTGAAATTGAGATTATTTTCACACAAATGTTGACATTTCTCTCATCAAACTGTAAAACGGTTCACTAGCACAGTATATCGACAAGTTTTCGTTTTATTGCCGATGTATGAAGGTTACGTTCATCCTTTCTACAAATCATACTAATCGGTTAGAGAAACAAGAGAAGAATGGAAGAAAATGATGGAGATAGAATAGACTTCATGATGTTCTACTGACATAAAGAGTAGATGGGTTGCCTATAAGAAACTTAGGCAATGATACTATTTGGACTGGTCAATATACAAATTTTCTTAGTCTTGTCACTCTATAGTATAAAAGAAACCTTAATGAGACACTGCCCTATAGAACCAAGACTTTTCGCTTTTCGATTACGGTTGTAGAAGAAACAAATACATTACGTACTATTCTGGAAAATGGGTTTCTCGAGAAATTCATAGCTAAACATTAGGGTATAAGCATAATGATGTTCGAACCGTACCAGCGTCTTCAATTCAGAAGTGATGCATAGATGAAACCTAAGAATCTTTAATGGAGCTAAACTATAATTAATATTTCTGACACATTCAATGGTTACTCCAAAATTGAACTGTAAATTACTTAGACGAGCCACCTGTTTCTGTATCTATCTATCTATCCGACTTCTCCTGTGGAGCAAACTACATAGGCAGATGTTCTAGGAATTTCGATTTCGTGCTCATGAGTACCTCACAGTGAGGTTAAGCAAAAATATCGTTCAATCTGTTAACATCTCGACTCTAGTTTAATTAGTACAAATAGACCATACAGCTAACATGGAGTAATCATTTTATAATAATAAATCATTTCAACTTGTTTAAATCCGTTAGACTAAGAATCCTTCAGATGGCTGAAGCAATAGCTATTCGGGTTAAAAAAAACTGGAGCTTTGCATCGTGAAAAATTCGTTCAGTTACTCCTATTAGGCCAACTCCTGGCCTAATTAGTTACCAATTGTTTTGACCATAATAATCTGATGAATGTTCATAAAACCGCCCTCTCTGCGTTTTCATAGCTTATCTTATTCACAAATCTTATCATTATTATTATTATAATTATTATTATAACCTTAGTAATCCTTTGAGAAATTCATTCAGCAACCACGTCTACTCACTAATGCGTACCATATTCACGTCCTTCTATAGATGACATGATTCCTGATCTGTAATTATTATCTCTCACCTTCATGTTAACCATTTTTATTCGATTATGAATCTCACAATTTCATCTCACGCATAAACTTATTCCAGTAAATACTTAAATAAATCATTCCAATATTTAAGGATTTCTATTACAAACAATCATCAATCCACATGTTATCATTTAAGCGATGTGTTTTAGCTAAAGCGTGGAACATTTTTTTTGGATGATTATTTTGGACATAGAAATGTAGAACGTGAAGGAAACTTTAATGAAAAGTAAACTCTTCCTTCCTGTGTTTTAATATGATGGGAATTTTCCAGAGTTTGAAAAATTTCCCTCAGCAAAAGTGTTGCATTCAGGCCATTCTAGTTTGACTGTAACAAACCAAAATGATATCGATTCATTTTTGTCATATAGGTTTCCACTCTTCTAGAATGATTGAATTGTAGCTGGAAGTGAATTTTTGAGTGTTCAATTCATCTTAGTTTGGATCTGTCAGCTGGATGTACTCATTTCTTCATATTGATGCTCATATTAAGTATCGGACATATTACATTCAGCTCTAAACGTTTGCTCGTTATCCAGTAACTTACTGAATGATGAATGGGATAAAACATGTATCATCGGCTCTACTTTTAGCCAAGTCCAAATGAACTAAAACTTTTAACAAAAAGGCCGTGTGGAAATAATTTTTTTAAGATTATTAATATGAAAATGTGACAAAATTTTTGTTCGTAACACTTTTGTAATCATGAATACCAAACTCCGTCAAATCAGAAGTCAGGAATGAAGGAGATAGAAGATTTATTTGAATTATAGTTTGTATATTGCGCAGTCAGTGAACTAGTTACTGCTAGTTGGTGTGAAGGATGCATAGCATGGTGTACTAAATGGTTATCTGGTGGGGATGCGTGACCGATCGCCCTCAGCTGGGGTGTACCCAATAAAACTAGTGAGGTCAGCATCATTATCGAAGACTAGCAGAGCTGTTGATTTTGGCGATTTATTTACCGCTACATATATAACAAATGACACTGATTAATCTTAGTTCTGAATATCAGAAACATGGGATTACAAACCCTTAATAAGAATTAATTCTCTTTCACAATGAAGATGTTTTCATTTTTATCAAGGCAGAGAATTATTCCGTTTACGCCTTTTAAAGTCATTTTAATCTAGCAAATTAGTCGGATATGTTTAATGGACATTTCTATTGTCAGCAGTTAAGATAACTCTTTACGCTTCATCAAAATATCTACGTAGTAAACAGAAAGTTGTATTGATTTGTAAGTTCCTTGAAAGCCATGGTTACGACAAAAATCGAAATCAGCAAGAACATATTGGAGAAATAAAGTGTGATGTTCTAGTCTTGTAAAGCAGATAAATTCATACATTTGAATTTAATTGAAGTCAGTTTATTTTGAATGAAATCAAGCAGTATTTTGATATTTTATTTAATTTTGCTTAAACCATTGAGTTGTATAAATTATTCATATTCATATTTATATTAATATTCACATTTCTTTGATTGATGTAATAAACTTTAAAAGTAATATTATTCTAAGGGTCAGTTATTCTTATCTATTTTTAAAATTAGAAAAGTGATATTGTAGAAGTGCATTTTGTCACTGCCTCTCCACGTAATAATGTACGCTTGAATGGAACATATCTTACTGTTGAAATATACAACACAACACTCGATAGATGGGATATTGTTTACACAGACGCTAATTGGGAAACAAAGTATGTGGTTTTATTAATCATTTTTATCTGGTTTATAAATTAACATTTCTTGTGTATTTATATTATTTTTCATATTATTTAGAAAATATCATTCAACAATATACAATTGGTCGATCACTGGGTTGTGGCCATTGTCATGTGTATCAGGTCCTTCTTAGTGCTGATCGGGTTTTATCGATCTAGTAGCAACGAACTTTGCTATTGAAATTTGAATCTATAAAATTAACGGTCTGTGTGAATCCCCTGTAGTAATAGCAATCGCATACTGATTAATGACTGGTTTCGAATGACTAAATCTAGCGGTTCTTGTGAGACGTAGGACGTCATTAAAAGCAATCAACCATGTCGGATACGGTGCAATAACTCTTTGATTGTGTTGGAAGTTAGTTGAGTAAAATAGTAAACTGATTAAAGTTAGACACCTAAACTATCAGATGCTAACTTGGCAATATAAACATCAAGTATTTCCTACAGAGCTTGATTATTCTGTGTTCAATCTGTGGTGTATTGATAAGTGTGCACTACCGAGGGGTTTTAAACTAGTATCAAACAGCTTTCCATTGCTTTCTGGTTTCCAAAAGTTGTCTAAGATTAGTTTCTGATGTAAAGTATCAAATTCAACTACCTGCATAACTCCCTTACTTGAAATGGCGAATAATTTTACCTGAATACGGAAGTAATGGTAGTGATATTTATCTTTCTATCATTATTGTTTCATTCATTAACAATGGTTTCTTTAAGATTTATTTTTTATTATTTCTGTGCCCTCTTTTTACTGTCATCTGATAGTCATATCCATTATTGTCTGATGCAAAGAGTTTCCAATGTGATAAATCGTACATTTACTATCATTTGAAGTAACCAATCCACAAACTCCGTCAGTAAATTTATCAAGCCTAGTTTTTCAACTCTTTGATTAGTTAATAAGACTTCGCAGAATCCCCGTTTTTAATTTCTTGTTCACTTTATAAATAATATTCTTTACCAAACGAAACACCTCATCTTTCATACTATGTGAAATAAATAACCGCAATTTCGTTTAAACAAAGAGCAAATAGTAAAGAGTTTTCCTTAGTCAAAATAATTTGTATAGAAATAGAGTCTGAAATAATTTTGATAGTGATTTCATTGACAGGTTAGTTAATAAATGTTTGTCATATTGACTATAAATACATATGAATAATTTTTATCGTGTAATGGATAATCTTCTATTATTCCAAAAGTTTCAATAGTAAAATAGCACAAGTGCTTATGGTTTGTGATTATGAGATATTATCTACAGCACAATTAGTTCAGGAATGTTTGTTTACATTAATTTTTGTAACAATTTAATTATTTCTTTCACGTTTAAAAAATGTGTCGACTTCTCACGCGGGCATTCGGCTCACAATCTTGCAATCATTTCTGATGTACAGATCATTTATTTAGTGTCAAATGACCTGCAGCCTCTTTAATGATTTTGTCATTTTGTTTTTGACTACTAACAAGTAGTCAAAATACTGCTTACTATTTTCCATAATATTTCTCTTAACGTTACCACCATTAGTTGAATTTGTGTATGATGTTTTTTTCTAGGTGTAAAAATATTTAAGGTTTAGTAAGTATTTCTAAATGCTTTTGAAATTGGCTAGAATTCTGATCATTTGAAACTGTTTTGGACAACATACTTCGGTTAAAGAAAGCTTAAGAATAAAAAAGAGCATCTTCCTGAAATATCGCTCTTATTTGTATTAACAAACATAAATGATCTCAGAACCAAAAAAATCCAGCTCAGAGAACGAAATACCACCTTGATCATCTGCCTGAGCTACAAACTTTATCCTTCATCTCAAGATCTCATAACAACTAAATGTACTAAATTTTTACTTGCCAACTCATATTGTCTACTGAAGTACCAAGTGTCTGTAAGCAAGCAGCATAAAACCTTACTTGGAATAATTGGTCACATGTGAAGTCTTGTGAGTTCCTAAGAGCCCTCGAACGCGATTCTCTAATGCATTTATTATTTCACTTATATGTTTAAAGCACTGACAGCACTATGTGGTTTGTTTCTTTTTAATTTACATATTCAAAATGAGTTTCTAGTTTTACCGAAGAGTTAATATTCTGCACTCTGTCTGAATACAGTTTAGAATTCCTCTAAAGTAACGATGCTTGTATTTCAAAGTATAACCAAACCTCATTCATTTAAGGGAATGTGAATAGATCGATGAAATTCTCGACAGTTGAACAATCAAATCTTGTTCTGTGACTTATAGTTGAAAGAAAATATAATATTTGTCATGTGGCTTGTTATTACTATAATGCAACATACTATCTACAAGTATTTACATTTTAGCATCATCTAGGCTATGAGTTACAGTCCTACACTTTAGGCCGAAGATACTTGAGTTTCGCAAGTGACGTAACTTAATAGATCTTCAAACATTATACACCCAATATCTGTCGGTAATTAATGAATGCTCAGTTCCTTTTTTTATGTATTCATCGGGTCTCATTGCACTCCATAATGTTTAACATAGTAAATTAACGCTGTTTGAATGGATACAACTGAAATTTGATTATCCCCGTCTGTATATATTAGGCTATCTTCGTGTGTTACTTATAATTTGTCATGTGATTTACAATTTTTTCAGGAGAGTTTCATAAGGATTTTTTCATATTGACCATCTGATCTTTTATATTTGAAGTTAGAGTCTTATGAAGGTTTGCATAAATCTAGATCGTTTCACTGAACACAGCGTATGTGTGGATAGTTCAGCATATGGTTAAGCGTACAATGGTTACGTGATGATCACCTACGCCTCCGTGATAGGTGCTTCATTGAGAAATCCGTACATTGCGACGGATAGTGTTGCTTATGTGGTAGAATCTCTTTACTATAACAAAATTACACCCAAAGTTTGACTAAAACTCAAAATATTTGAAAATAGGAATATTTAAGTTATAAAGCTAATCGAGCATACAAGTTACAAATTCATCTTTATGATTATCGGGAAAGCAATTTTCAAAGTGTTTTATTATGTAGACTGAAGTTTCCGCCAGCTTTCACCACCATTCACTTGAAGAAAGGATTATGAGCTGCTTTATGAAACGTACCTCAGTAAATGGGTGATTTTTATTGTTCAGCGTATTTTCACTTGCTTTCTCTGTCAGTTCTATAAATATTAGTTTACGCATTTATCATATCTTAAGGATAACAATGTTTAAGTTATATGTGTGCAATGTCTGAGAGATATTTTTATGACATCATAAATTTCCGACTTTTTTATTCTATAAACTCATTCATCTCCTTGAAAAGTCTCACTTATTAACTCAATTTTCAGCAGATATTTATTGTTCAATGTTTCTTATTCAACTGTAAACCAAAAGGCAATCAGTAATTTAAAGTTTGATAATATAGCGAATCATATTTCGGAAAAATAAACTTTTGAACTTTCATTTCGTGCTTTCAAAGCAAAAAAAAAATAACAAAAATTAAATTAAATTCATTTTTATTTCAATGTTGGTTATCATTTTGTTTCGACCTACATTAACTTGAAAAAGTGGTAATTTGTAACTTTTCAAGTACATTGCTTTGTTTCGACTTTGAAAAATCATTTTTTTCATTGCCTAGTACTCTCAATATAACTTTTACGAATCAATATTATGATTATTTCACACCCATGCACTAATTTCTATTCGTTTTTTTTTTAAAAATTATGCTCACTTCCATTCTCTATCTCTCCACAATCTAGATTTTTTTTGTATGGCGCATATATTTTTTCGTGCCCCTTAGCACCTATGTTGATGTTTTCAATATATGTATATATAGACCTCATGAAACTTATGTAAACTTTATACGTATATTTTTTTCGAAACATATCACGTACATATCATAATAGATTAGTTAGCTGTGACAAAAATCATCATTGATTTGAAATGATTTACAAATAAATGTCAAATTATTACACTAATTCTGATTATTTACAGCTTTAAATTCAATAATCAAATATACTTTACAATCAGCTAGTCATATCATTTGAATAAAGCAAGAACAGAAATTTTAGCTAAATATTATGACCTATTCTTTTCTCACCCATACAACTTGAACCTAATAGTGGTTGGTAGTTAATTGAGAATCGAGTAAACACACTATATATCATATTGTCAGAAATGTTACTATCAATGAAGATTAGTCAAGTTAAGATATATTTACTTTAGTAAGTGTTTCAGGTCACCATAAGCATACAAAACATTATATCCCATGTTCAAACGTCAAATGCTGATGGTTTGAGAGTTCAATCGATTGATTATCCACAAGGAGATGGAAAATTCAGGTCACCTACCATATCACCTACCCTTGTTCAAGCAATCAATAATTTGCATAATCATATTCTAGCTTAAAGTCGAAAATACATGTTTACCAGATTAATGATTTACGTAGGCATCCAAGTACTATTTCACTCACTATAGTTTACACTATATGAAGTGGTGTGAATTGGTGTTAAGCCACTCAGTATTAATTTCAATTACTTCCGAATTAGGATTGTATCTACATCACACAAATACTTGAAAATAATTATTATGGCAGTAAAACATAACTAGAAAAAAAAATCAAGTTTTCACTACAAATAACACCATTTAGTAAAAATTACTGTTTAACATTAACTTCTGACAATTAAACTTCGTATAAATTACAATTAATTCCAATGCAACACAAAATATTCCAAGCTAAAATATTCTTCTCAAAATCGTCAGATCAAATATACTGCCTGGTTTTCATGGTCATCTTATGGAAACTATTGGCAGGCAACCAAAACAGAGCTTACAATTGTTAGCACTCATAAAGCCAGCGGAACTCGATTTCTGTGCTTAACCACCAATTACTCTGAATCATAATTCGCAAAGTACTGACTAAATTTAATAATTCAGTCAGCAGCACGCGGATACTAGTAACTTTAACTGAATTAACCTGATATTGGGTAATAATCAACTATACAAGCACTAATTACTTCACA